TCTCCATCTTCATGAAAATTATCAAAGAACTCACTTTTCGCAAGTGACCGGTTGCTCTGATCATCGATAACAGCGTATGAGAATAAGTACTGTTCTGGACATCCTTTTGGAAATACCTTGACTAGCAGAGTCTTGGCACATGACTTGCCGCCAACCAAATTATCACATATCTGTGTGCAAGCTGACATCGTTATTGGCTTCTCTTCATGATGTGACGCCGACAGAGCAGTAACGTTTCTCTCCCCTTCATGCTTCCTCAGCGAAGTCCTGCTGTCTGCAACTTTAGCGGAGGTTTCTCCCTCATTGTTACTGTGGATGGCGGTAGCATGCTGAACACTCCCACAAAAGAAACACTGAATGCTACACTTGCATTCACGAGCAGTGTGCTGAGTAGATTCACAACACTTGAAGCATATTCTATGCTTACCAAGAAAGTCCTTTCTCTCACTCAGAGACAGACGTCGGAACCCCTTACAATAATTAAGAGTATGTCCCTCTGATTTATCGTGGTAGGGACAGAGTCTAACTCGTTCCGTAACATTGTCTTTCTCCCCGATGTCAGTTTTCTTTGACAACAGTTTGAAGTTTGGGTTGATATTCAAGGGATGAAATTTCTTTGTGGAATTTGGCGCTGACTGTGAGTCATAAAGAAAGCTTGGATCTTTTCGTATTCTAGCCTGTCTGCTTATGAATTCTGAGAACACAGAAAAGGGAGGATAAGCAACATGATACCGTTCCTTGTAGTTGACTGCTTCATTTGTCCATTTCTCTTGAAGAGCGTAGGGAAGCCTGTTCACAATCGGAGTCACGCCCGCTGAAGAGTCATAGTATGCCAGAAGGGCTGAGTACCTCTGATTGTCCTTCACAGACTCAATTTCGGACACAATGTCTGCCAGGTCATACAGTTTATCATGGTCTTTGTTGGAAAGTTTAGGGAAATTAGACAATTTTTTCTTGAGTGCAGACTCCACAAGCTCGGGACTGGCATATCTGCCTCCCAGTCGTTCCCAGATCTTCTGAAGGCCACGAAGTGAATTATGAGCATTAGCAGCACGAATACTAGCGGCTTGTCTGCTGGACTCCGGGCCAAGCCACCTGACCAGCAAGTCGATTTCCTCCTGCGGAGACACATTTAGTTCGTACATAATTTGTGTAAAGCTATTCTGCCACACAGCAAAATACTCTGGCTTATCGTTGAATTTACTCAGCCGAGAGAGGAGGAGGTCTTTCCTCATCAAATATTTGGAGAGTTCTGAACACAAACCCAGTTGGTTTGTCACATGTCCCAATGCAGGGGGAGCTGTCATGTCTGGGACATAAGGTTCAGCTGCAGGGTTGAGCATACTATTTGGTGGAACAGTACCACGTTGAATTGTCGAGGCCTCTGGTGCATGTACTTGCCTTGGTTGAGTATGGGAGTCGTCACCATGGTTATGGAAGGACTTGAGGTCATGAACTGTGTTGCGATTACTCTGCCCGGCTTTGTGAGGTGTACTCGTACTTACGGGTATGTCTTGGTTCTTGGACACAGTTTCAACCTGGTCAAGTATCCTAGTTTCAAACTCATAAAAGGTTTGTTGGTTTTCCACAAATTTCTGAATTTCTTCGAGCTTCGCCGATGTCTGGGAAGAACGGTCGTCTCGCCTTGATTTCTTGTCAACCTCCAAAACTCCCTGTATAGCTTGTAATTCTGCCTCAGCTTCATGTACTTCACGCTGTGAAGTAAGAAGTTTCAGGTTCACTTCCAGTTCAGCTCGCTGTTTCTCCATCTTTGCTTCCTGTTCAGCGAATTTCAGTCGAATCTTGGCCGCTTCAGCCTTTGCTTTTTGTCTCATGAGAATAGAACTTCCACTTGAATGAAGGCTTTTGCTTCGCAAAGAAGCTGATTCTATCCTGTCAGTGTTTGTCAAACTAGTAATTCTAGCATTAATGTCCTTCAGTGCCATCTGCACCTTATTCAAGAGTGAATCTGCAATGTTTTGATGTGCAGCCTGTACTTGTGAACTTTCTTCAGTGCCAGTTCGTTGTAAATATGCAAAGAATTCCAAATATGTTTCCTCATACTTCCCGTATTGACAGTCAATATTTGCACGCACACTGGTTAATTGTCCCAAATCATCATGTGTCGAGTGTGAACAGGCACTCTCTGTTTGCCTTGCTAGTTTGGAAAGTTTGTTGACATAATTTTGCACGTTTTCTTGATATAGTTTGTAACCTAGCTCCGTTAAACGTCTAGATCCTTTACGTGATTCCATAGTGTAATACTCACGCACAATTCTTGGAAGAATAATGTATCAACGGATCGTATGTCTCGTAGTCATCGGAGCGCTGTGCCTCATATACGAGAGTGGCGATGTAGGTTTTTTACTATAACGACTTCGAAAAGATGCTTGTATTGTTTCTTTAATCATCATAAACCCGTAGTACAAAAGGGGTAAAAAACCTGTACATGTCAGCCTTTGAGTAATGGTGATAAGACCTTTGAGTAGAAACCACTGATTTGAAACACGTGCTTTTTCCGGAAGTTTGAAAAAAAAGGTGAGAAAAGATAACTCTTATTGACTTAGATAGAAAGAGAAGCGTCCGTAAAATAATGCCTCGTATGGGGCAAGACAGTCGACATTCTGAGTTTTGGTGCCCCTGTCACGATGAGCCTGAAGAATAACTCCCTGCATCAACCTTGTAAATAATCTGATGGACAAAGATGTAATAAAACAACTGCGGACTGTTCTAATTCGAATTTTGACACAAGAGATCGTCCATACATGTCATCCCGGTTATGCGACAAGCCAACCAATCAAATGATCGAACTTGTGTGACGTAGCTTTCTGGGTCACTTCTGTTGACAGTGAGAGGGCGGCCATGCCGCGAGTGTAAATTTCAATGGAAATACGTGGATTTGGGAAATGTTTGTCATAAATAAACAAGTTCACAGGTTAGATATTTGAAAAAAAGATTATATGAATGTTACTATGAATATTCAGCGACTTTTCGTAAGTGATCGAACTTCCATGACACGAGGATACACTCTATACATAGTTAATCATGCATACCTTGTCTCAGGGACGCAGGCTGGAACCTCCTTTATTGATGTACAGTGAATAGCCCTGCACAAATAAGTATACTACATATAAATATATTACATATCCAACGTTACACTAGTGTGTATGAAATACAAGCATAATAAATTCTAATAAAGACTATACATATATACATGATACATATACATGTATCACTTCTAACCAGTTTATATCTATTTTATAAAATGTACACTTGGCTATTACCTCAGTCAAATACACAGTTAGGGTAAAAGGTAAAATAAATTCCTACGTGCACAAAATAAGTCAACAGCACAATATGTCTACTGAACTGTAAACAGTCACATGTCACACAAAAACAATGTTATTAACTCTGAACAGACAAGCTATGTTAGATCTACGTAGCTGAGGAAAATGACAATAGGACATTTCTTGGAAAATCTCTGATGTTTAGAATTTTCAATAGGACATTCCCATAGACTGCTGTATAATTTCTGCAAAATCAATGGGACATTTGTGACAATGGGTAGGCAAATATCCTAAATATTGGACGATCTGTATCACTGGTAACGTTACTTGAAGGCTTGTTGCAAGCGAGATTTCGTACAGTTCAAACATCGTGACACTGAAAGGGCCTTGATCTAATCAGTGTGTGAGGACGCCTGGCGTGCTAAATAAGAAACAGACCTTTACTATCTGGTCATAAGTTTACAACATTCACAGGCTTCGTAGCACAGGTTAAAATCAAACAATGCGCTGTTGAAAAAGCATAAAAAAATATAGATCTACCTTATGCCAGACGGCTCCTTCGCATTATCTAGGGAGGCAACTCTTAATACGTTTTGCTGCCCACTATCAATGTTCTCTTTGCGACACATGAATGGTTTCATAGCTGGGTAATACTTTAGAATGTTGGAACAACATTGGCCCAACATTGTTGTATGTTTGTAAGAGTCTGATATCGCAAATAAAATTTATTCTACAATATTAACACGTAATTACCATTTTTTTCTTTCTTCGTCGAAAAAGTTTTGTATCAACTGGTAAAGTGGCCCGCAGAAAGTGGGTTGAAATAAAATTGTGGATCGGTTAGTCGCCCCACACCTGTTTGAAAATGTGGAATTATCAATACAATATACATCCTTGAAGAACCAGACAAATAACATCTATGTAGGCACTTTCGAGCAAATGTATCATGTGAATGTTGAAACAGTCAGCAATATTACATCTGTTTTACGACAACCTAATCATAGGGCCAGGAAAACAAAATGTCGATATCATGAGCAAGGCTCGACGCCGTCCATCTTCCCGAGGCGAGGGCATTAACTGACCATGAAAGACCAGTTTCCACCCTTGCCTCATTAGGCTGGAATCTCCTCCAGGCTCCTATAGGCAGCCCCACCAGTGGCTTTTACGAGTTATGTCCCTTCTATGTCCCTCGTAGTGACTAATCAGATTCCATCTCTCATATCACTTGAATTTGCTTCAACAGCGCACAGTCAAGACAATCTGATCGCTTTTTTTATCAAGATCTATATTGTACTAAAACGGGTCTTACCCCGCGAATTGCATCAAATCCCTTAAGCACATTAATTAAAAACATGAAAAGATTGCAAACTATCTGTCGACACCCAGTTGTCTGTACACATGTTTTGGAAATCCTGCAGTCGACCGAAATCTGCACAGTGATTACGAACCCTGATGTCGATTTCGTTACGCGATTTTTGATTGGACTATGCATAGACTCGTTAGTCCAGCCACTCCGGAATCCCAGCGTAGTTAGGCAAGGGTGGAAACTGGACTTTAGTCACTTAACGCCCTTGCTTCGGGAAGATGCACGCAGTCGTGACACAAAACAACCAACGAGATCGCACATAGGTAGACTGTAATTAGAAGATCAAGACATGCACGTCTGCATGTGCTCTCATTTATAATTATTATTTTGGACATGTTTCTTTTTAGTGTGTTCATTATGTGTGACCCTGACCTAATGGAAGTCAAAAGATTTTGTGAAGAAGGAGAGATACACTTTAATGAAGGCAATATAAAGAAAGCCATAGAGTCTTTTCAAAAGGCTCTGGGAAAAGCGAAATCGACGGAAGATAGACACTTGGAAAACGTGTGCAGTTATAACCTGGCGTCTGTGCACGCCGCGAACGGAGACAAACGAAAGTATGAGCAGAACCTAAAAGACCTGTCAAACCAGTTTATTAAAGACAACTTGCCAGAAGGGGAAAGAAGCATGACTTACCTACAGGCAGTTGCAGACAGATCGCCCTGGCAGTATAAACAGGCTTTAGAGGTTACCAACGATAGCAAAAAACAGATTTATCTTCTTAAACAGCTTGTAAAACAGTGCAAGGATAAGCAAGACAAAGACAAGCAGATCGAGTACCTGGAGCGACTTCAAACTGTATATGAAGTCCAACGGGAAGACATCAGATGGCTCGAGGTAGCATGTCAACGGGCAAGACTTCTCTACCGGGAAAAAACCACGGAGGCTTTACTCGAGGTCCTGAAGAAAGTGGAAAAGAAACTTGGTGAGATCTTACAAGTACCATCACACCATACCTCTGTTGCAGGTGAATACGACACCGAGTCACTAAAAACAAATTCGGGTGAGTTGCCTCTTAAACACATAAAACAAAAATAAGCAGGGTGTGTTTCCAGAGGCTGCGAAAAGCCATCACTTTCTATTGTTATTCAATGTAAATCAACATATATTTTAGTTCACATTCGTCTGTCACTCTCTTCTATATAAAAGGGAACTGGACAGACGGGTAAAAAATCAATTTGTTTATGCGAATTTAGTTTGAATATGTGTCAGATGTTTTGCGAATGAGCGCTGTCGGAAATGTCATACGGAAAGAAATGACGCCGCTCGGAGACTTAGTTTGTTTGTTTGTTTGTTTGTTGTTTGTTTATTTGTTGTTTAACGCCGCACTCAGCAATACTCCAGCTATATGGCGGCGGTCTCTATATAATCGAGTCTGGACCAGACAATCCAGTGATAAAACATCATGAGCATCGATCCACGCAATTTGGATACGATCACATGTATCAACCAAGTCAGCGAGCCTGACCACCCGATCCCGTTAGTCGCCTCTTACAACAAGCATTACTGTTTTAGTGCCAATATGGAATGAGGTGGGATTGATGTACACGCTGTTGAAAAAAGAGGACAAGGCTTTGCAATGCTTCGAGAACGGACTAAAACTGATCCACGACAAGAACACAGCCTCCATACTGAAAACTGCTGTTTTGAAACAAAACATTGGTGCGGTACAATACATGAAACATGAATTTGCGCTTGCCAAGAAATCCGACGAAGAAGCCATTAAACAATATGGTATATATGTTATGCTTCTATATCCCATCTGTTTGTACGCGACGTATATAAGGCTACTTTTCTCGTCTACTATTGCCTGAAAATCGATTAAAAAGCGTCAAAAAGTGAATGTCGCATGTTTCAAAAGTAAGTTTTTAAAAAATAATAAAATAAAAAATAATACATAAATAATAGAAAAATAGGAATAGCATATTTAAGCCATATCCAAAGATAAACAATCGTATGGATGTAGATACATCTGATAAACAATGCTGAGTGATTTAACATAACTCAAATATTACCTTTGTTGAACTAATTTTAGGAAGAGTTGTCTAAATGCATACAATTGAAAGAGTGGCTGGCTAAAGCACACAGGAGAACTCACAACCTCACCATCATCTTCACCATCACTCCCTTCTTTCTTCTTCAGATGAATACGTCGCGGAAAGAAGAAAAAGTACATCGAACGGTAAAAGGACGCAGAATAGGGGGACACAGGGTGAGTTGCCTCAGTACATCGAGTTGTAAAAGCCCGCAGAATAGGGGGACACTGGGTGAGTAGCCTCAGTACATCGAACGGTAAAAAGACGCAGAATAGGGGGACACTGGGTGAGTAGCCTCAGTACATCGAACGGTAAAAGGACGCAGAATAGGGGGTAACTGGGTGAGTAGCCTCAGTACATCAAACGGTAAAAAGACGCAGAATAGGGAGACACAGGGTGAGTAGCCTCAGGACATCGGACGGTAAAAGCCCGCAGAATAGGGAGACACAGGGTGAGTAGCCTCAGGACATCGGACGGTAAAAGCCCGCAGAATAGGGGGACACAGGGTGAGGTGCCTCAGGGCATCGAACGGTAAAAGGACGCAGAATAGGGGGACACAGGGTGAGTTGCCTCAGTACATCGAGTTGTAAAAGCCCGCAGAATAGGGGGACACTGGGTGAGTAGCCTCAGTACATCGAACGGTAAAAGGACGCAGAATAGGGGGACACTGGGTGAGTAGCCTCAGTACATCGAACGGTAAAAAGACGCAGAATAGGGAGACACAGGGTGAGTCGCCTCAGTACATCGAACGGTAAAAAGACGCAGAAAAGGGGGACGCAGGGTGAGTTGCCTCAGTACATCGAACGGTAAAAGCCCGCAGAATAGGGGGACACATGGTGAGTAGCCTCAGTACATCGAACGGTAAAAAGACGCAGAATAGGGGGACACAGGGTGAGTAGCCTCAGTACATCGAACGGTAAAAGCCCGCAGAATAGGGGGACACATGGTGAGTAGCCTCAGTACATCGAACGGTAAAAAGACGCAGAATAGGGGGACGCAGGGTGAGTTGCCTCAGTACATCGAACGGTAAACCCCGCAGAATAGGGGGACACATGGTGAGTAGCCTCAGTACATCGAACGGTAAAAAGACGCAGAATAGGGAGACACAGGGTGAGAAGCCTCAGGACATCGAACGGTAAAAAGACGCAGAATAGGGGGACACAGGGTGAGGTGCCTCAGTACATCGAACGGTAAAAAGACGTAGAATAGGGGGACACAGGGTGAGGTGCCTCAGTACATCGAGTTGTAAAAGCCCGCAGAATAGGGGGACACAGGGTGAGTAGCCTCAGGACATCGAACGGTAAAAAGACGCAGAATAGGGGGACACAGGGTGAGTAGCCTCAGTACATCGAACGGTAAAAGCCCGCAGAATAGGGGGACACAGGGTGAGTAGCCTCAGGACATCGAACGGTAAAAAGACGCAGAATAGGGGGACACAGGGTGAGTTGCCTCAGTACATCGAACGGTAAATGGACGCAGAATAGGGGGACACAGGGTGAGGTGCCTCAGGACATCGAACGGTAAAAAGACGCAGAATAGGGGGACACAGGGTGAGTTGCCTCAGTACATCGAACGGTAAAAAGACGCAGAATAGGGGGACACAGGGTGAGTTGCCTCAGTACATCGAGTTGTAAAAGCCCGCAGAATAGGGGAACACAGGGTGAGTAGCCTCAGTACATCGAATGGTAAAAAGACGCAGAATAGGGAGACACAGGGTGAGTTGCCTCTGTACATCGAACGGTAAAAGCCCGCAGAATAGGGGGACACAGGGTGAGTAGCCTCAGGACATCGAACGGTAAAAAGACGCAGAATAGGGTGATACTGGGTGAGGTGCCTCAGTACATCGAACGGTAAAAGGACGCAGAATAGGGGGACACAGGATGAGGTGCCTCAGTACATCGAACGGTAAAAGCCCGCAGAATAGGGGGACACAGGGTGAGTTGCCTCAGTGCATCGAACGGTAAAAGCCCGCAGAATAGGGAGACCCAGGGTGAGTTGCCTCAGGACATCGAACGGTAAAAAGACGCAGAATAGGGGGATACAGGGTGAGTAGCCTCAGGACATCGAACGGTAAAAGGACGCAGAATAGGGGGATACAGGGTGAGGTGCCTCAGTACATCGAACGGTAAAAGGACGCAGAATAGGGGGACACAGGGTGAGTAGCCTCAGTACATCGAACGGTAAAAGGACGCAGAATAGGGGGATACAGGGTGAGGTGCCTCAGTACATCGAACGGTAAAAGCCCGCAGAATAGGGAGACACAGGGTGAGTTGCCTTTTACTCAGAAAACCCAAGAAGCAGCAGGGTGTTTACAGAGGCTGCGAATAACCATCACTTTTCATGGTTATTCAGTGTTAAACATATTTAAGTTTACATTTGTCAATCACATTCTAGTATAAAAAGTTTATGTGTTTTACGGAAGGACGCTGTGCATGCTATAGAATATGTTATACAGAAGAAAATGGCCCTTATGTAAATGGTTAACTTCATTATCTCAAATTGAATAGTCTAAAAATATATGGCAAGCGACAGATTATATATACAGTGTACAGAGTACAGTGACATAATTCTCGATATAGTAGCTAGGTGCTCATACCGTGTCGTTACAGTTTATCATTACGATGACGAGAGGATGACGTACTGGCAGCTGAAAGAAGACAACGGAGAAGGACGGATCTACGGTAAGACGAAGCCTCTAGAATGAACACTGCTGTGTGGACACAGAACATTCATGCGGTTCTAAACATGAAAGAAGACGTAGCGCATGCCATATTATACTTGTGTGTAGCCATCCATACATATAGTTTAAATGTTATACTTTCCAAGTGTCAACTTTCCCTTTAATTCGAGCAATATTCTCGCAGCTCCAACATTTCATTTTTACATTTCACAACCTTTGAGGTACAATCAAGCATTATCTTCCCACCAAGATTTCAAAGAGCGTCATACGACTCTTGCTCAGAAGTTGTTTGATCAAGGTTACAAAATAATTCATTGCCTCAGTAAAGCTTGCACAAAGTTTTATGGTAGACATGTGGAGGACATTTCCAAAATTTATGCATCGGTGACAAAGCTGATGTCCGATGCAATTCCAAATTTTTACTCGTACCATATGTTCCCGTGTTTTTCATGTAAACAATTGGCTTGCCTTTGTATGTGTTTGTGACATACATCATCACTCTTTGCTAGTGATTCATAAACACATGCTCATGATATAGTCGGAATCGATCAATCTGATTTTGGCAAAGATTTCATATGATTATGGAAATGATATTGTCGATTTTTTTCTTTATCCCATCTGTTTGTACGCCACTTTTAACATCTGTCTACTAAACAGTGCTTAGGTGAGCTATTACCTTGCGTTAATTACTTTTAGGTAGAGTTGGGTAAATATTTACAATTGACAGAGGCGCTGAAGGACGATGAAGAAGCCGCGGCATGCGCTGCCCGTAGCTACATCAACCTGGGCGAGGTCCAGGCCAAGCTGGGAAGAACAATGGGTGCCTCTGAAGCTTACTCACAGGCGAAAGACTTGGCACGCAAAGGTACTAACTAGAAAGGCCATGTCAATATAATAATTATTATGTATGTTCTATAAGTTTTAATTTACATCAAAATGTGCTCATTTATTTCAACACAATATTGAACAGAATTCCATACAACTGTTTCATCGAATTATTCCAGTTAAACAGACAGAGAATTTCTTTCCTCTTTGTTCATTCATCCATCCCGTCATCCACATCATGGGTCATATATGGGACATGTCGCTGCCGTTTGCCCTGGAGGTGTAGAAGTTTTTGTTTATCCCCGTCCTCCATACCCATATGCACCGAGTGTCAAGCCAACATAAGCCAGTGTCAAACTGACACTAGATGTCTAATGGGGATCGGATGGTGACATTGTGTCTCACCGTACCTTAAAGTCGAGTCGGGTAGCCTAGTGGTTAGAGCGTTCGCTCATCATGCCGAAGACCCGGGTTCGATTCCCGACATGGGTACAATGTGTGAAGCCCATTTCTGGTGTCCCCCGCCGTCATATTGCTGGAATATTGCTAAAAGCGGCGTAAAACCACAGTTACTCATGTTATCGGATGCGAGCATTGATGTTCATGATGTGGTTAATATTGTAAACTGCTGCTTTGATTGCTTTGATAGTATCTGTCTCAACACTCTGCTTCATGATATATTAGCAGGGGACAGGCATACCGTGATGCAGGCATGTGAAGCACTTGCAAGTGTTGCCATGAAAAACGCTGACATACTTGAAGCGAAGAAATACCTGCTGGAGGCGTTGAAATTCAGCGTGGAGGTTCCCGAGAAGGTCCCGGTGATTGGTGCAAAACAATCGGAAGACGCCCACTACAATTCTCAACGCATTGCTGAAAAACTGTCCCAACTACCATGACCATTTTCATCAGAAGGAAACCCCTAGTCAGAGAATGCCTTTAGAAGTATGGTGCCTGTTTATGTAGTTGGTTTAAAGGCAGCCTGAAACCATGGGAAGTAGTGTACTTAATGCAAGGGTGCAAGTGTTTAGGGTGTAGTTAGGCTCAGAACTTTCTAGCAACAAGATGGGTGGAAAGTCCAAAGATCCAAGGATTATAATCTGAGATTGGAACACATGATCAGCGAATTCTAGTAAAGCAACCTGCTGATCGCGTGTTTTACCCAAACTACCTGGATTAACCACCTGTGTGTTTGGTAGAGCTATTTACAGACCGTCATTATATAGCTGCCATATTGCTGTGTATGGCTTCATAACACCCACAATGATCACTCACCCCCTCCATGCTACAGTGAAGGACGGTGCTAAGACGTAAAGGGTTCATGGGCTCCAGATTTGATCATGTATAGCAGACAGGGCGTGGCATCCGTTGAAATAAATTCGTCCATTCGCTGTGAAACCGCAGTCACATCAACAACAGCTACGTGAATAGTTTTCAAAGTCTTTTTTTTAAAATTAATAATGCCATCGTATCCCAATTGCGTGGATCGATTCTCATGATGTCAATCACTGGATTGTCTGGTCCAGACTCGATTATTTACAGACCGCCGTTATATAGCTGGAATATTGCTGAGTGCGGCGTCAAAACAACAAAGAAAGAAAAGAAAGTTTTATCATTAGTCTCTGGTTCTGGAAATACGAGTTGTGGCTACCTCGTGATCCATTAATGTACGGCCGTCTAAAGGTAAATCTGCAGCCTTTTAACAAACATGTGTCAGACCCATTCTTCTAGTTATGGCTTGCTGAATGTTTTTAGTGTATTCACATATACTTGTGGCAGAAAATAGTCGTTGAAAGAAACCAAATGTATTTGTTAACAGACATGTAATTCAAATTTATTCAGAAATATAGACTGAAATGTGTTTCAATTTTTGTGAGAGGTTTACGTTTATATGTTTAATATTGACACGTAATATATCCTTTCAGCAAAAGTTCATTCTCAGAGCTTGAATAAATGGTCATTGGTTGTTGATAATTGACTGTGATATATGTGAACAGGAAACATTGTAGGACTTGTTTAATTATCGCACCTTGTTATCGACAAAGGGTTGAATTCGTGTGATGATATCCTTCTTCTCAAGGGATAAACAGATTCATGTCTGTAGTGTCCAACAGATGTGATGATGCTTCTGAATTCATGACACACTGATGTTTTTTGTAATGCATCAATCAAACCATTACGTGACTTTTGTTAAGAAATTTGTTATGTTTTGTTCATTACTATCATACAAATAAATACATAAAAATACAAAGTCAAGCTTTCGGCCTCCCGGCCTTCATCAGACATTCTGTTGGTTTAGTACTACATCATTCGAGAATCTTTTTCAACCTTTGCTGAAACTGACATGAGCTTTTTCCAATCTTGAGCTTAAAATTGATGCACATTTTAAAGTGAAATAATAGTAATACAATTCCCGCTGTACGTCTGAACTTCGTCTTGTGATTGTATATTTGAATATTAGTTGTTTGAAGAATATTAGTTCACCAAAGGGTGGTTGTTTCTTTGTTGGAATCCGTGAAAAATATGATGTTTGGTAAGTTGAATTCTTACATCTGTTGTTTTTATTAAATCCACTTCTCCAGTTCCTGCCAGATCGAGGCTACCCTGCTAAAGTCGGAAAATGTATGCAAGGCCATTTCCGATTCAGTTTAACATTAGCTGCAAGTATTGTTGTCTTTTATTCCTATTTTTACACGTCTAGTTTGGGTAGATGTAAATGTGGTGCGAGATTTTATATTCAAACCATTGGAAAGCAGTATCGGGACATCGGAACGGCACATGGTTATAAAAAGGCCAAGTTTCCAAACATATCTTATTTTCCGGTTTGGCTTCCCATTTTCTATGCAAATAAATATTACTTTTTGTGTCATTCGAAATTAATTGAATATTGAATTTCTTTCGGTATTTTTGATAGATAATATATAAAATATAAGAAATAACCGGCGTTTTATGTATTATTAGATATCGGCTACAGTTTTTTTTATTGAGCTTACAACTCACATGTACTCTAGAAAGTTAAGTTTTTAATTGATACTTATTCAGAATAGTTTGAAAGGTCAATGGTTGTCCTGATGTATCTAGAATGTCATGTATTTAACGAATTCCCTTTTTATTCAATCTTGGGTAGTAGATTACTTTGTTTTCAATTCGGATATTTTTACTGTACCAATTATTTTCGTTTTTTGAACTACTGCTAATAGTTTCCGAAGTGTTTAGACTAGCTATAAAGTCTCACCAAGCAGAAAGGATAACGCTGCAATAGTTATTTCGTACCAATGGCATAATAGCATTCATTCAATTCTGACAAGTATAGTAAAATATTATTACAGAACCAAGTTTAGGCAGATTCATAGACACAAACTGGCGTCACTTATCTCCTTTTCATTCCATTTGTTTAGACTATTATATTTTAATTTAATATATTATATTATTATATTAATTATATTAATTTTAGGAGCATTCAAACCACCATAATATGTTTTAGAGCAAACTAGCTAGTCTCTCTTTATTTTATCTGGTTTATTCCCACATATAAATCTAAAACACTTACGTTGAAAGTGTCAGATGGAAAAGATAAAAACAAGTGATTGAGTTTGGTAATGATAAGTCATTTATTATGAACAGTGTTTCTACCAAGACACTTGACTGAATTCCTTTGGAGAACACCTTAATGCATTGTCTGATCGATTTACCAACGTTAAAAGAACAGAGAAATTTCCAGTTAACTCTAGCAAAGGCTTTTCCAAAGTCAACCAATAGCAGAGGTCTTTTATTTGGTTTATTTCGTCTATTAGATTACCCTTTTCTGTTTCATCTTCTGTCTTATCTTATTAAACTTCAGTTTAAAATAGTGGTTAAGTTTACTGGTATTAAGTGTTCTTTCTTTTCCCGTTCCTTTTTTTTTTATTGTTTCACCTCTTATTTATCATACGGTTTCGAAAACTATTCGGTCATCCTTTTGATATTGTTAGGCTGTTTCTGAAATAAGATCTTTCACCCTCTTTTACATAAACGATATCCCTTAGAAAAGAATTATTAACTTTCCATAATCCTTTACCACGCTGAGCGAGAGCGTTTACGTTTTAAATAGTTGAATGTCAGCTTTCTTTCAAACTTAACATGAACACCTCTACAGTTCTTTGATGTTATTTGTATCATATCGTTCATGGTTTTATGTAAATATTTGATAAGTTGTTATAATTGTTATGTTTTATGATGGTTGTTATCTAGTAAGTGAAATACCTTTATTGTAATAAAGATTGTAGCAGAGTTATGCACACAATATACATTCCCAATGAGGTATTGCTTATAGGAAAGTGTATATGTTTTGCATATGCATAGTGGTGGAATAGTTGAGAAAGTTGAATGATTTCAGATTGCAACTAGAACAGTTAAAATAAAGAAGACAAACCTGAAAATCACTATTTTGTGTTTTTGAAACCGCACCCCACGGACGCAACATTTTAAAAAACGAGTTGTACTGTATCACAGAAATAGAATCGAGGTATACATTACATTAATAATGTAGTTGAGACTAAATTACCTCAAGTCAGCTAAAAACCATAGCATGTATTATAATACGATATATTTCCTAGAAATCAAGAGAAAATAATCCATATTGACATATACATTGAATTCACAAACAAACACTATCAAACTCACAGCATCGTGACTCTCCCATCGACAAAGTCACAAGTACAGGTCCAACGAGCGTTCGGGAAACTAGCATTACCTTCCGACTGTTCACATTGATCAAGTTGATCAAGTCCTTCCGTCCTTCCTTCCATCCTTCCGTCCGTCCGTCACATTTCGTTAACGGAGCAGAGCTTGAAAACCGTACCCTATTTCTTCACCAAACTTGGCACATAGATAGGTCTAGTGGTGAACTGGTGCCTTTTGACAGTTTGGGATTTTAAAAAATATATTTTTCGAGTTTCCATGGCAACGACTTTGACTAAGACTCAAAATGGCGGTAGTCCTCGTTTCCGGAGCAAATCTTGAAAACCGTACCATATTTCTTCACCAAACTTAGCACATAGATAGGTCTAGTGGTGAACTGGTGCCTTTTGATAGTTTGGGATTTAATTTTTTAATTTTTCTTTTAGTTTCCATTTCAACGACTTTGATTTAGACTGAAAATGGTGGTAGTCCTCGTTTCCGGAGCAGAGCTTGAAAAACGTACCATATTTCTTCACCAAACTTGGCACATAGATAGGTCTAGTGGTGAACTGGTGCCTTTTGACAGTTTGGGATTTAAAAAGATATATTTTTTGAGTTTCCATAGCAACGACTTTGACTAAGACTCAAAATGGCGGTAGTCCTCGTTTCCGGAGCAAATCTTGAAAACCGTACCATATTTCTCCCCTAAACTTGGCACATAGATAGGTCTAGTGGTGAACTGGTGCCTTTTGATAGTTTGAGATTTAAAAAAATAATATTTTTTGACTTTCCATAGCAACGACTTTGATTAAGACTGAAAATGGTGGTAGTCCTCGTTTCCGGAGCAGATCTTGAAAACCGTACCATATTTCTTCACCAAACTTAGCACATAGATAGGTCTATCGTTGAAATGGTGCCTTTTGATAGTTTGGGATTTTATTTTTTTATTTTTTTTTAGTTTCCATTTCAACGACTTTGAGTTAGACTGAAAATGGTGGTAGTCCTCGTTTCCGGAGCAGAGCTTGAAAAAAGTACCATATTTCTTCACCAAACCTGGCACATAGATAGGTCTAGTGGTGAACTGGTGCCTTTTGATAGTTTGGGATTTAAAAAAATATATTTTTTGAGTTTCCATAGCAACGATTTTGACATAGACTTAAAATGGTGGCAGTCCTCGTTTCCGGAGCAGATCTTGAAAACCGTACCATATTTCTTCACCAAACTTAGCACATAGATATATCTAGTGGTGAACTAGTGCCTTTTGATAGTTTGGGTTTTTTAAAGAAATTATTTATCGAGTTTCCATGGCAACGACTTTGACTTAGACTGAAAATGGCGGTAGTCCTCGTTTCCGGATCAGATCTCGAAAACCGTACCATATTTCTTCACCAAACTTGGCACATAGATAGGTCTAGTTTTTGGTAATTAGGCCATATACAAAAAGGCCCAGTGAAAACAGTTCACAGGAGCTAATGCATTGCACACAGACGGACATGTCATATTGGCGGGGGATATGAGTATTTCATGCTTGTTTATGAAAGTTTCTCATTGAAATATCATTGCATTTTTCTGAGGTATCTCGTTTTTCAGATCAGTCTGTATCAAAATTGATAAACGCCGGTTCCAGCTACTCGAACTCTGGTCCACAGATTGTTTGTTTCATGGATCATGTTTTCAAAGTCTTTTCTGTGTTTTCTTCTGGTTCTTCAGCGATACCGTAGAACAGTAGATTCGTCTTCCGATCGTGGATATCTATCATTACGACCTTTGTTTATTTGTTTATTTGTTTATTCGTTTGTTTGTTTGTTGTTTGTTTATTTGTTGTTTAACGCCGCACTCAGCGATACTCCAGCTATATGACGGCGGTCTGGATATAATCGAGTCTGGACCAGACAGTCCAGTGATAAGACATCATGAGCATCAATCTCCGCAATTGGGATACGATGACATTCATCGAACAAGTCAGTGGGCCTGACCACCCGATTACGTTAGTCGTCTCTTACGACAAGCATTGCGGCCTTTTACGGTCAAGCATGGGTTGCTGAAAGACCTATTTTACCCCGGATCTTCACGGGTCCAAAATTTGAAGTGCAAGGAAGGTTCCGGTATCTGAACAGATGAGGCTCGAAAAAGATCCTTTTTTTATTTCCAATATGAAATACCTTCAAAACAAAAAGGCTTGTAATATTCAAACCAAAGAAATCGTTGGTTACAATGGTAGAACATTATAAGGTACAATTAAAGGTTATGTTAGACAGATGTTGAAAAGCGAAACAGTGAACAGGTTTAGTATGATCAGGGTGATTTTCAGAAGATACATAATTACTGCAGTGGTGTTCCCGTAAATGTGGGCCGCCTTTTCAGCTCTGTACTGATAAATCACATAGAACCCGCACATCGTCCACGTCATCCTGAAAGGAAAGCAGTGCAATATACAATATTCCCATGAAAATTTTAAATATTTAAAGATTTGGGATTTTATAAAAAGGAGAAATTGTCCGCCAAAATTCTGGAAAAAATTAAGCATGATTCAGATTTTTGAAAAGAAATGCCAGAAAAATAAATGTAGCTGAAAAAATATCTAAGCTCGATTCAAAATCCCAAAATCATTTATGAAGCATATACGTAAGGGCTTTTATTATTAGATTAAAGATGTTTTAAGAAAATTGGTCGTACAGTTTAACCTCGCTTACTCGAAGTCAAATCGATATTTCTTTTGAAACAACATCCAACTCGTAAGGAAGCCGTGTGCAAGTAGTATTTGTATTGTTGGTTGATTGCGTGTCATCGTACTTTGGCGGCTTTGGACGTGGCTCATCATATCAATCACTGGCCTGACTCAGACAAGATTATCAACAGGCAATCGTGATGTAGCTGGAACATTGCTGACTGCATTAACCAAAAACAAAGAGAAAAAAAGAAACATTCTTGACGGCCCAAATGTTTTCTCTGGGCATTCCGCTTATATCAAACTCTGGACAACTCGATAGTCTTCGTGTTAACGAGGTTTTACTGTTTATATCTGGGGCGGTCGGGTAGCCCCTGTGGTTCGATTCCCGACATTGGTACAATGTGTGAAGCCCCTTTCTGGTGTCCCCCGCCGTGATATTGCTGGAATATTGCTAAAAGCGGCGTAAAACCATAATCACTCACTCACTGTTTATATCTATTGTAATAGGGGTTTACCTGACTAAAAGTTTGGACCAAACGGTGTCACAAAGTATGCGTAGGCTTCATAGGTGGCAAACCCAGTCATCTGCACGCCGAAAGTGCACGTTGGTGAGCTGCTCTTGATCTCCGTCAGTGTGTTGTTGACTGGTATGGTTGTCACGGAGAACTCTCGCGAACCAGCTTGGAACGACGTCCACGTGGCCTTGACCCCGATGTCGGGGACGCATTTCGATTCCGTGATGATAGTGGCATTGAGGTTGAAATGTCTTCCTGCCGCCTGGATGTCGGGGATGACGTACTCTGACGCGTATTCAGTGATGGGAGGGACAAGGGAGCCGAACACGTCATATCCCTGGTCGTTGCCAGCAATCTGGGATACCAGGATAGATTTGGTAGCCGAAATGAAAACGTTGTCGTCGGTTGCATGGTCTTCTTGGTGAACCTGTTTTTCATTAAGTACAAATGACGTGGTTGTTTTTCCAAATATAGCAACATTGGTGTCATTATGTGCTGCAACAATACGAATATTGTACTTGTCCATGTTAATGACCTGAGGTACGATATATTCACGTCCCCATTGCGATAGCGGTCGTACCTGATTCAGCACGTGATCGCCATGGACTCCCGGATAAAGAAGTATCACTCCGCCGGTATATAAAGCTACCGGTTTACTACTTTTAATGCGTGTACCTCCGAGGGTACAATACACTCCCCTCCCAGACTCAAGAGACGCCACTTGGTATACGTCTCGGGCATTAAGTACTTTAGTCTCTCCGTTTCCGAAAGAGGGACAGTTAGATTTAATGTCAACAGTGACCGACGTGTTATTCTCTATAGCAACCACCCCAAGCATGGCGTTGTTTGGCACCGATGGAATGATATACTCGGACAACATATCCAGTGATGTCGTGGGAAGGATGTTAAAGGCTGATGCTGCTCCGACATCACTGTCTCTGCTGCTCAGACCGTACAGCTGAACAACCTCGGTACACTGGACGAAGATGGCCCTCTTCTGGACGTACATGCCGAGACTGTAGAATTTCCCGCCAGGCAGATCAAACTGTGTGAAGGCGTCCTTCGTGTGGTTGAGTGTGACTTGGTGGACCTTCCCATCGTCGTCGGTGACGGAGCAGCTGCCCCCTGACTGACTTCGAAAATACAGGTGCCCCGTCACAGACCTGCCATACATGCTCACATAGTTTGGAAAGAAAGCTACCGTAAATGTCTTGCCTTCATAATTGAGCCTTCCTGAAATGATGAAAAATATATGAAGCATGTGGTTGTCTATGCATTACAACCAGCGCTGCAGATAACTAACGCTTTTCACTTAATTGGCTATTGGAATTCTTTTACTTCGATAGAATCCGTTGTTGGATAGGTCTGGTACCAAGTATCACACAAGTTCCAGTATATAGAACAAGAAGACGAAGACATCTACATGTATTTCCCTCCGCCAATTTCCAGTCTTAAAGACAAGGATATGTGCAATCAAATGTGACATTGTAAATTATCAGTTTGTCCACCTGCTTGTGGAAGAGGTTGAATACAAGAGCTACTGTATAACATTTCCAAACCTTTGCACAAGTATCTGCTTTAATAAGACTGTAATGAAAAACAAAGGTTCATCTTCCAGTATGTGACGGCTGAGACTATTTTGTGTCATTGAGTACTGAACTGCACAAATTCACTCATTTAGATATCATGAATTGTATTGTACAGCATTGTTATACAGGCAGGTATTGCTGCAGCCCTACCCTTTACGGGTAGTTACCAGAGTAAGGTACACTCAACAGATAAGGTACAAAAGTTGTGAGCATGCTGACCCCTAAAAACCTGGTGAATTCTATTACAACTACTATGAATCCTTTTATAGCTTTGATTGTTGCGGCGTCTCCTTGTTCGCCATTTAAATGAAATAAGAAAATAAACATCAAATAATAATCTCCGGAAATGAAACCCACATCTTTCACTCAGTTCTGAGACAAAGCCCAAATTTATTAAATTATATGAAAGAAATAAAAAATTCGGAGGAATCATAAATAGCAAAAGACACATCTTCACTATATGGTCAATGTATGGACGAAGTTTCATAAAGATATCTTTAATAGCTTTCGAGTCGGACATGAAACCCACTGCTTCGATTTCAGTTCAGAGCTTATGTCCACATTTCAAAAATGTATACAAAGTGATTTTAAAATGCAAGGGAAACCTAAATAGCTAAAGGCACATCTACATCATATGGTGAATGTGTGTACGTGATTTTGTAAAGTTATCTCATATGGTTTCCGAGTTCTTCTCCGGAAACGAAATGTGACGGAGGAACGGACAGACGGAAACCGTTTCTATATCCCCCGCCAACTTCGTTAGGGCTGGGCATAATAATCAATGTCTACGTTTCACAATGATTTTATGGTACACCTAAAACTTGGGTTTTACGCCCATCATTACTCTATTTCATTTTGTCATTGTGTGTCACCTCTCTGTGCTCGCTAAGTCCGAAGTGATGCATATTTCCAGTATCTATGTACACCGTTGTTCTTTGCCGAAACCCACGAGCAAGGGTAAGGTGCCGCCAAACCAAGAATCTGGCATCTTTAGGGGAAGTAACTCTCCATAGCTTATTGCGGCGGCTCAGACGACTGGGCCGACAACGCCCTCCCGGTTACTTCAAATTCAAGCCTATGTACAAGTAAATTAAACACGATAGTTGTTACCTCAAAGTAATCTTTAAATTTAATTGATCCAGGCTTGTTTCCTTTACAAATATTTTACCAGTTCAAAAGCTCCATGACATATGTGAAAGATTACACATGTAACGTTTCCTACCTTCAACCTGTAGCAGTACGAGGGCGAAGATGGTATAGCAAATAAACATACTGAAGCTTCTACTACGCGCACCTGGCACACTATCTACTGCTGTATTACCTACTAAGTGGTCATTTGAGAAGTTGCATATGTTCGTCCTATATGTTGTACTTTGCCATATGACACACGTCCCGTGGACGTCGGATTTAGTCTTATCACAATACACTTGCTCCTTGCTCCAGTATAGTGTTGCGGGCATAAATGATCTCTCTACCAACTTGGGTGTCGTGATCGGAATACTGTACTTAACTCAAACATAGTTGTTGGTTTTTTTTGCGATTGTATAATTTTTGTTTTGGGATGCTTTGTTTCTCTAACTTTTTAATGTCTTGTTTTGTGCTTTTGCTATTGTGGGGTGGGGAAGGGATGTTATTCCTTCATATTAATGTATCTAATCTCTGTGACATTAGTAATGTTGAGCACGGTTTTTAAGATATATTTAACAAAGATATCTGCAACAACAATAGGACTGTACCTACTGTTAATGTTATGTAGTGTGTTTAATGTTTAACGCCACACTCAATTTTCCAACCAAATGGCGGTTGTCCATAAATAATCGAGCCTGGACCTGACAATACAGTTGTTGACATCACGTACATCAATCTACGCAATCAAGATACAATGTACGATGACATGCATCAAATAAGGCAGCGAGCCTTGCCACCCAAACCTGTTATTCGCCTCTTCCGACAAGCATGGGTCGCTGAGGAGAAATTTAACCCGGATCTTCATGGGTTAGTGTGTAGTGGACACCAAACTGGGTCATTCGATCATACCTAGTTTATTGAAATAGTATTGATTATCATATACCTAGAGTCTGTAATGTATGTCCTAGTACGACGGTAGCACTGTGGCACGAGGCGAGCCCCCGCCGCACGCAACCATGTGATTAAGCGTTACAACGAGGTGAGTTGGTTATACAGTTTGTGCCTGTCATGCAGGGCTAAAGAAAGGATATGGGATAGTTACGAGATAAATCGCAAAGAACAATGAAGAACGAAGCGTGGTTTATTTCATGATAAAACACTGTTCTATCATGACGTAATTTCTGAAGATTCGAACATGCGCTCGCAACTTAATTACTCGTATATTGGACGTGGTTATTTTTTAGAGGGAAGTGTCTAGTGGTTGTTCCCCATAGATGTAGCTAGGCAACACAGATAAACGCAAGGGCCGAACAATCGCATCAAAAAGAGGGAGAGATATAACAATCGCTATTGGGAGAAAACGTAGAGACAATCTACGTATGTTTTGTAAAACTGTACGGGAATCACCCATCCGTGCATGAAATGGACTTGTCCGACATTGCCGAAGTCGGATACTATTGAGGGAGTCATCATTTGCTAAATACGGGTATATATTAGCTTGTAATTCTATTATGACCTTTAAAGGTCTATACGTAATGTTGACGTTTCACATAAGAAATAAACAACTCGTGCTCTCTGTTTATAGTAAAAAAAAAAGCGGCGCCCACATGGTTTATTCTGCCTGCAGTGTTTTATTGTATGATAAACAACTCCCAATCATCGTTTATTTCTTAATTAGAAGGGTACAACGTAACAGATATATAGTTATACAACGGTTAGATAGAATGCTATTCAAAATGTACTGACAAATGTCCCCATTGCAGAATGATCTCGGTTCACATAACGGTCCCAGAAGACACTGTCTTGCAGTTTGTATTACCACGCTGTCAGCCCGCAGTACAAAGACAGGCTATTGGACCACTGTGTTATCTCTGTGGTCATGACTGTGGTCGTCGAAAGACAACATATGAGCTGAGAGTGCATTAAAAGGCCGTGTAGATTGTACTGTAGGCAGGTAAGGGCATTTGATCAAGTGTTTCCCATGTCCTGTCGACACCGTGTCCTAGTTATTTGAAGGTTATGTTAGATATAACGCTCATAGTTATATTGAATAGACGTATGACACAGTAACAACAGAATGCAGTTTTATGCATGTTCATTCATGAGTACTGCATACAGGATCTGCGTCGCCTCCTATTGTTGATGTAATTCAAACTGCAACGTCTTCAACGCCATCAACGCCAACGCCATGCCGCTACTGACAAATACACGCGCTGAGAAAGTGAGACGATTATGTAAGCAGGGGAGTGAAATGGAGGGCCCCGGGCAGATCAGACTGTTTGAAGAAGCACTGACTGAAGCAGAACACCTTGGCACAAACAGAGAGAAAAATGTATGTATATGCCGCCTCAACCTTGCTACAGCATACGTACACACTGCTGATAGAATCCAGACAGGTATAGACATGTTGAGTGACATGACAACCACGGCTGAGAAACATCACCCCGTCATCCTTTCAGACATTTATTATTACAAAGCAGTGGGGATGATGCGTGTGAAGGGGGATCGAGTCCTTTCACGCACAGAGTCAGATGGTATCCTACATGCCCTGTACCAAGCTAAGCAGTATGATGACGACAGTGGGTCGGATACATGTCTGAAGCAATACATCTTAACAGCACTTTTGCGTTTCGAACGCAGAGACAGTGAGCGTTGTGAACTTCTGAAAGAAAAGATTCTCGCGTACAAACAGGACAGGGATTCAGAGGACGTGGACTCTGTACTGCAGATGGTGTATGAGATGATGAACCTGTTGCTGAAACGTGACCCAAAGGAGGCTAAAGAGGAAGGACGGCGTTGTCTGGCCGTTATTCCCGAGGATGATTCCAGTTGTAAGTATATAGCTTATTTTCATTACAGTTACACCCCGTTAGTCCAAGAGCATTGCTTTCTGGATGATTTGAGCATACATGTTTTGAACATACATATTAATGTGTGTAGGTGTGTGTGTGTGTGTGTGTGTGTGTGGGGGGGGGGGGGGGGGGGGGGGGGGGTATTGTTTAACCCGGAACATTGGTAACCCGGGCGATGTCCTATGAACAATCAGTTAGAAGCAGTTAAGAGTAACACTATTCGAGATATCCAGCTTCCAAATATATAAAATATCTTTTTATGAAATCAAACAACACTGTATACATGTCATCTATGAGGCTCAGTGGTTTAATCTTGGACAACGTAAGCAGCAAACATCACGCTTCCACGGTTCCTTCTTTATGAATATAGGTACCAGTATCTCCACGACAACCTGGTGTGACCTTGGACTTGTCTACACTCAAATACAAGAATATAGAAACGCTGTGAAGTACTTCGAAAGGTCCCATGGTAAACTTCAGGAGGCTGACTCGTTTGCGGAGATGCCACAGCAATGTCTGCAGATGCGCCACAACATAGCAGCCGTGTATCTTCTTCAGAAAGATTTCACAGCAGCAGTCAGTACATACGCAGGTACAAATACATTCCATATCAGTCGAATGAGTTCAGAACGCAACTATTATGATGAAATTAATATGTTCACAAAAGATGACCAATTTAACATTAAGTGTGAAATTATTGCTTCTGCGCTTTCCAATGTCACAGGCGAAGATGGAAAGAAAAGCCTTGATGATCTCCGGAAGGAGATCCAGGACAAGGACCTACTGTCCCATGCCTACCTTAACCTGGCGTTCGCGTATCTGCGACAACGGTTCCCAGAGAATGACGCTCTGGGGCAGGAGGAAGCCCTTCAGCTTGCCTACACAAACTACAAGACTGCTCTGGACATACAGATTGAAACTGGTCAGTAAAGTACCGTTTGAGCCATTGAGTAATGCTCGGATTTGTAATACACTACCATTCAATACGCCTCATGCCCGATGCTGTATGAATAGAGATTGGTTCTTCAATAATATAATATCACACAATCCATGCTACATACACATACACGCATTGGGGCGGTCGGGTAGCCTAGTGGTTAAAGCGTTCGCTCGTTACGCTGAAGACCCGGGCTCGATTCCCGACATGGGTACAATGTGTGAAGCCCATTTCTGGTGTCCCCCGCCGTGATATTGCTTGAATATTGCTAAAAGCGGCGTAAAACCAAACTCATTCACTCACATACACGCATCACATCCCGGATTATTATGGTGTATGTTGTTGTTGGTCTGTACAACTCTCAGGCATCTCATCGCTGTATATTCAGTACATACAGAATACTAAACGAGCTCCCGTGTAATACCAATTTTATGAAACGAGTGAATAGTTGTGGTATCTGACGAGCGAAAGCGAGTCAGATACCACAACTATTCACGAGTTTCATAAAATTAGTTTTACACGGGAGCGAGTTTAGTATTTTATTTATTACTTGCCATTTATAACGTTTTTAGAATTATCCTCTCGAGTGTGAATAGGCTGACACCTACACGATCCACGGCATAATCCGATTGAGTTGAGTAATACTTCAAACACGTCAAAACTTGAAACGTATGAATTTAATACCATACAACGGTCCACCTTTAGAATTTTCAGGCGTCCGTTCCACAAAATTATCGTAGCGTTAAGGTTATCGCAACTCACATACTTTAACTTCGACCAACGACTGTCGTTGCGCTACAGTAGGATCGCCTTGTGGAACGGGGCCTTGCACCTCAAAGTTTACAATCACGTCACAATACCCGATGACGTAATTTGTGGAATTTTGTTGCAAGTTCCTTCGGCGAAACAATGCCATGTGACGTCAGCCTAGCAACAAGGTTGCTGGGGTCATCGAGTGTGCATAAGCTCCTCTCAGTGATCCATTATCTCCACACACAATGTCTTTGAATAAGCCAAGGTATGTTGAGAGCTTTCAATATTTGTTCGTGAAACGTGTTCCGAGAGTACATAAGCACGCGTTTTGGTATTACACAATGTGTAATACAGCTGTATGTTTATTAAACGGGTGATCTTTTCACGGGCAAGTAATAAATTCCTAATATTACCCTTGGCGTGTCAGCACCGTGTACGTATATGTGGCCTTGGGGTTTCATTAAAATTGGTGTCTATGACTTCAGTCACTTTGGAATGTCTTCCTACTTTAAGCTGGAACCACGATATAACCGAAAATCTGTCCATATGGATCTTAAACTTAACTCACTCGCTCACCGGCATTATTATTGTTAATATTATTATCCTCATCATCAATTTACAACTGTTTCGTTCCCGTGGGGCAGGAGACATGGAAGGGGCACACACGTCCCTGGAGGGTCTAGCAGCCACTGTACTCACGATGGAGAGGTCGGTGAAGACGCTGGAGTGGATGAAGCTGGATCTAGGACTGATGGACTACCAGGCTGAACAACTGAAGGCAAATATCGGGAAGATAGTGAAAGAACTCGCCGCCATGAAAAGTGACCATGACGAACTTGTAAAAGAGAAAGAGATTTCTATAAAGACAGATCATGGCCAAACACATTCTGTTAAGGGGAAACATAAGCGCGATGAAAAGATAAGTGGTTCTAAAACTCTTAATAAGACAAATGACGCTAAAACTTCTATTAAAAAAGCAGAATCGAGTTCAGCTGCTAAGAATGACAATTTTAAATCAGCTGGCAAGAATGATGCCGAATCTAAATCAGCTGGCATTGAGCCCGAATCCCATTCAACTGGTAAGAAAGACGATTCACAAAACGCCGACAGTGGAAATAAATCCCACAAGAGTGTGAAAGATAAAAAACCTGCCCGTGAAGAATTACCAGCATGACAACCGCAATGATAGTGATGACTGCAGTGTAACATTGCAACAAGAGCTGGTTCAAGAACATTGTTTATTGATTTCTTTCTGATTATGTTACAACTGTGTGATGTATAGACTGTTATAGAGAAGAGAAATATTAAATTAAATGTTACCAATTTCTCTACTGTGGTTTGATAATGCCCCGTGTTAGGTACACATCTACCAATAACATTCGATCCCATTTGCGTGGATCGACGCTCATGATGTCAATCCTTGAACTGTCTGATTCAGACTCGATTATTTACAGACCGCCGTCATATAGCTGGAATATCGCGTTAAAGAATAAACAAACAAAAACAACAACAACATGCCGTGTTTTGTGTTTCGTCCATAAAACAACTTCAAGCAAATTACATATACAATCATATCACAGAAACATATTTGAGTATATACGCTTTGGAAACATTTACGTACAGCTCGTACGTACGGTTGATACTATGCCTCTTTTCATCTTGATCATATTTTGACCAAATATTTTGTTGAAAGTGTTCTTTCAATGTGATAGGCATGTGAGAGCGAGGTTTAATATCCAGGTGTATTGGTGTTGTCCAGAAGCTGGGTTGTCAGATAATTGAATCAGGTAGATATGGTGTAGAAATAGGGCTCGGTGGATCAATCATTACTGCTTAGAGTACACCAGTCGTGAGACCGGGATTGCAACTACTGGTGGTAGTTGTATATGAAGGTCAAAGATAAGTGGCTGTTCACTTGTATAGTAAATTAATATATATTATTAAATGCTGTATTATTTGACGACTGTATACTGATTCTTGAGAGAATCCTCGCGTTTTATGCCGCTTTGAAGAGTATTCAGCTATATCGCGATGTCTCAGTTTGACGTCGGAGGAAAGCCCCACCTTATGAAACCACGGACCACGGGTATCCGGAAAAGAATTATGATCATGGTGAATCTTTTATGCGCCCCAGTCTGCTGGAAGGCGGTAACCATCCAATCATCTTTTTCGGAGGCTCTTCCTACGTCAATGGGAACTGGGGCCTATCCTGCAGCCGAATCCATCGAAGTATCCTGAGGTCTACATGATTGCATACTAATATTGTCGTCATATTTGCAATCAGTGACCAGCATAGTCCCCGACATGAACACCTCGACGGTAACGTTTGTCTGTTGTTGAAAGGCGCATTCAGCAATATTCCAGCCACGTGACGGCTGTCTGTAAATAATCGAGTCTGGACCAGACAATCCAGCGATAAGACATCATGAGCATCGATCCACGCAATTTGGGACACGATGAGATGCATCAACCAAGTCAGCGAGCCTCTTACGACAAGCATAGTCGCCTTGCACGGCAAGCATGGGTTGCTGAAGACCTATTCTACCCCGGATCTTTCAGCGCCATACACGAACACGTGGAATTCACCGAAGAGATAATCTTGTATGACCTGTCGTTACGTTGTGCTTTGTGAAATGCCGTGATGCAGCAAAAATAGTCAGTGAGTTGGGTTTAAAGCCGCTTTTAACACTATTCCAGTTATATCACGGCGTGGCACCCTAATGTGAAACGAAAGCCCGAAGTGATGCAGGTCTCACACGTTCACCACTTTGATGAAACCCACGAGCACGGGTATGGTGCTGCCAAACCTAGAAACATAATCGGGGCGAACCGGGATTCGAAAACGCGATCATAGGTTTCTGGCGCGCCGAAGAAACTCCGTAACACTTCCGTAACACTACGCCTTCGACGATCAGGGCCCGACAAAAACATAAATCGTATCTGCACACGCTAATAATGTGGAGCAAGTTTGCTCGCTAACAGTTAACACAAACGCCAATAAAAACAGGTTGTTTTGCTACTAAGAGTATTAACTAAGCGTAAGGAATGTGTTAGTGAGCTACTGAAACTTGTCAATACAGCCCGGTCGACTCACTAAACTGACATTACAGTTCACTACTTCGTCCATAGTCATTAAAGAATCATGAATGCACATGTGACTTTCTATTCTGTATGACTCAAATGTCTATCTTCAAACTCCTTACGTTGAATGCAGAAGCACGAGTGAAAGCCATAAACACCCATGTATCTCATCGCTCTTACCCGTATTCATAGTCAAGAAAAGCAATACCTGCGCCTCGTGGGCACGTGGAATAAATGACATGCTATGCAATATTCGCAAGAAATATATTGAATAGCCAAGAGCCTTCGGTATACCTAATAAACAACGCTTAACTCCCAACGTTGACAATGGCCATAAATATATCAGCGTTTTCTTTTGTTGGTTGTAAATAGAGTGTGTTTAAACATCGAATGTATATAAACTCACACATACATCAACAGTGGATCATGGTCAAGTGTTTGTTGCTGCCTGAAGGTATTCGGTGGGAGAACGTGCAGTCATGAATACTCAGATATACCAGAATATGTTTCATCTAGTACGCCCATGACACTTATGTTACCTGTGAATGGGTTCCTTATGAATTATAATGTACACGTTCAGAATGATCGTTTTTGTTTTGTTTGTTTGTTGTTTAACGCCGCATTCAGCAGTGTTCCAGCTATATGATGGCGGTCTGTAAAAAATAATCAAATCTGGACCATACATTCCAGTGATTGATATCATGAAACATCGATCCACGCAATTGGGGATACAATGACATGCATTAACCAAGTCAGCGAGCCTGACCACCCGATCCCGTTAGTCGCCTCTTACGACAAGCATAATCACCTTTTACGGCAACATGGTTTGCTGAAGACCTATTCTACCCCGGATCTTCACGGGTCCAGAATAATAGTATTACAAGTATATTTACTAATAACCACAAAAAGTAATAACTAGTATTGTTCAGGTGCGATGTGTGTTTCTATTGAAACATATATTTTCATTACTGTTGAATGATGGACCAGAATTATTCTGGCAAGTCGCAGGCAGATGAAGGAATGTGATATCCGACCTCGCCCTGGGTGCGGTGCCTATATTCAGAAGAGATCGAACCACATGTAACTGCAACAATCGTGTTGTTTGAAGGGTTTGCTGGTAAAATAGTATCAATTGTTAACTCATATGAATAGAAAATACTGATACTATACATCATTCACGAGGGTCGGTAAAATTGTAAATCAATCAAATTATATCGCTGCCCCCTATTTCAATACATACATGTGTATACTATGAACAATGTGTCGTTAATCGGAAGGCAGACGTGAAATCACAGACATTATCCATTTTCTGGGAGAACATGGCACTGTTTACATTGTAAACAGCCAGCTCAGCATACCATTGGACTGGGTGCAAACACACAGCCCTGCCTATCAGCAGTGTTTGCCCCTGGGTATGGGTTCTAGCAGTGCTGTGACGGGGCCATTGTGAAGGCCATAAGTCACCTTTTCATAACATGTCCAGTCACCTACAGAGACGTCTTTATGTGCTGCATGTCTCGTCGTGGTTACGATACCAAGCATGAACAACTGAGAAGGCATGTAACAAACAATGACCCACTACCGTCAGGATAACCATGGGTTATACATGTAGAGGGTTGAATAGGCATATATATGAATATAGTAGTACCTCCTTTATGAACTGAAACCAAACAAACATAGTACTAACAAATCTCGACGCTTAGTACTGAACAACTGCAGTGACGGAAAGATAAGAGGGTTCGATCTAGGTGTGGGAGACAGTTGTGATCGTGTTGAGTTAGGACGGGTTCTGCTGAGCGTTGGGGAAGGATAATATTGTTTCTATGCATCAACACTTCATTTTCTTGAGGGTTCACAAGATGTAATGATGAAAGTGACGAGTACCAGCCGTGGCTTGACCTATTAGCAATCAAGGATCTCCTTATCTCCACCCTACGATGTCTGCAGGGATATGTCGCCAGTGCCCGACGTCTGTGTTGTAAGAGATGTTTTGCAGGAGGATGTGCTGAGGAGTTTTAGGTTAGTGAAGTTTTATTTATGAAATACACAGGGGATGTGACGTCGCACAGTGGCTAAAGCGCTCCCTCTCTCGTCACGCAAATGACTCAGGTTAATTTCCCCACCATTTCTGGTGTACCCCCGTGATATCGCATGCATATTGACAAAGGCGGCGTCAAACCATGCTCGTCAACACTTTCACGTTATCAAAGAAACACTTTAAACACGTGTTATGTTAGTGTTGTCTATCACGCAGTGAGTATATGTTTTAATACACTTATTTGTCGGTAGACTAACATTTGAAATAAGAATATTTTGCAGAAAGAAACGTCTTAATGAATTTTTATAAAACGGAGCCCATTCTCTCTCTTCATTTGCAGAAACTGCAGCGTTCTCGACTTGCTAACTATTATAGACTTGCAAGGGTTGTTTTGGATATAGTTCATTCAGGATCTGTATAACAGACTAATTTCTTGGTAGTAATCACATGCCTAAATTTCCTTTTTTCGCAAATAATGAGCAATTGTTGTACAAGAAATATATGTGAGATTAAGTCGTACCCAATTAGGCAAAACATTCTCGAATGAAATAGAATGCAATTGCTAGTGTCCATCCATCACTAAGTATGTATTTTTATGTCACTGATTGTATAATATCATGTCAGTTTTATGCCTGAGAACAACCTTATGTCAAAATCCTCTAAGTAAATTTGGAAGTTACACAAAATACTAGGATATATAGTCTGTACACTATAGCTAATCCTTAAACCAATATGTCTTTTGTTGTACGTTGAATGACGTATGCATATGATGAACATGATATTGACTGACAATGTATTCGTCGGGCGTGTCTTCTGAATGATTATGCATCCCTTGGAAATACTACTGTCCACCACACGTTATTACAAGTGTTCAGTTGCACGTTGATCTGTTGGGTCTGGTAGATCAGGTTAATACTGCCAGTCGGAGAGGGAAATATTTTGTAATCATTAACTATAGTCTCCTCTGTCGGGCGCGTTATTATCACACAGTGTGTGAGTGTTGTTTGACGCCGCAGTCAGCTATATTTCATCTATGCATCCCTTTGAGATACTACTGTCCACCACACGTAATTACAAGTGTTCAGTTGCACGTTGACCTGTAGGGTCTGGTAGATCAGGTTAATACTGCCAGTCGGTGAGGGAAATATTTTGTAATCATTAACTATAGTCTCCTCTGTCGGGCGCGTTATTATCACACAGTGTGTGAGTGTTGTTTGACGCCGCAGTCAGCTATATTTCATCTATGCATCCCTTTGAGATACTACTGTCCACCACACGTAATTACAAGTGTTCAGTTGCACGTTGACCTGTAGGGTCTGGTAGATCAGGTTAATACTGCCAGTCGGTGAGGGAAATATTTTGAAATCATTAACTATAGTCTCTTCTGTCGGGCGCGTTATTATCACACAGTGTGTGAGTTGTCCGCCGCAGTCAACTTTATTCCATCTAATTCACGAGTCTGGAGCAGAAAAAAGTGACTGAATGCATGAGTAACGAATCAGGTCAATGGGTACAATGACCCACCTTCAATAAGGTCACCAGGGTCATACTCCTGTCCCGAAATATGAAACAGGTCTTTTATTATACAAGTATGTATCCAGGATGTATGTAATGAACTTTGAAATTTGTTGAGGTAATTCTAAGTGCCTTAGTGGACAATATCAATAGACATGTTTAATCATTTCTATGTGAATCTTCCACAGGATACTGTACAGCCTCTGAAAGCCTCATCTCAACGATCAGACAAAGACAGATACATTTTACCATGGCCTCCAGGGACAAAGAACCCAAACAGACTTCAGAGAGAACTGGTGTCAAGAATACTGCAGCTTCTAATTCTAAACGAAAGAGGAATCTCACAAGGCAAATCATACCTGAACAAAATGTTGTGACAGGCAATAAAAAGTTAACTTCTAAAGTCACCACGGCAGCAAAGGTGAGCGACACAGTTCAAACAAGAGAAAGAGGAACAATGGATGGAAGGATGCTGACTAGAACTGGGGTCCAAACACCTGCCATTGCAGATACTGCATCTTCACCGGACACTGAAACAACAATTATGAAGTGTGTGGCTACAGCAATGGTGATGGGAGCCAAAACAGGTGCGGCAAAGGATTCTGGCATTATAACAATGAAAGGACTCATGGCTACCAATAAGAAAAGCTCAGATTCTGCCTTACTTCCGAAGACACAATCTAGAAACATGAAGATGGTGGTTACTGCGAAAATGGGAGGATCAAGAGAAGCTGTTATGAAAGTCGATGAAATAGATGTGAATAAAGAAACAAAAACTGTTACAATGAAATGTGATGATACTGTTGATGTTAAAAACGTTAATGACCCAGATGCAACTGACATCTGTATCAAGCAAACCGACTCTTCTACAATTGACACTTCTGACCTGAAAGATACTGAGGAAGATGAGGTCATGTTTTTTCAATGTTGGTCTTGGTATAGCACAAGGCCTGCAACAGTACACAACATTGAGGACTCCACCAATGCAGTTCTAGCTTCTGAACTGCATGGCACATCTATGGAAGCTGCACGAAATGAAGAGAGTATGTCTTCTCTATTGCAATCATTTGGAAATCAAACTGGTCAGGAGGATCTAGCTTTACCAATAACTTCAGCTCAAGAAACTGCGACTGAATGGCTCCAAAAGGATCGAGTTCATGGAGACACCCATGATCCATCAGGCATGACCACAATGTCCCTAAGGAAAGAAGAAAACATAAAGAAATGGAGCACAATCATGATTGCTGACGAGGATCATAAAGGAACAAACGGGTGGAAAAGAAGTGATCTTACGAAGATTGATGACAAAGGAAATACAGTTTCACTTCACACCACAGCACACAACAGAAGCATACACCAAGAAGATGCGTCTGACTTTGACAATGAAGAAACAAATGTCACACGAAGAAGCAATATCCCAGTGAAGACTGATGCGACAAAGTATAAAACTAGAGATCAAAAGCTGCAACGAGATATGCTTATAATTGATAATGAGAAAGCAAATAATACAGCAAAGAGCACGATTGATGCGCCAAAGAAAATAACTGGAATTACAACTGCAGCAACTACAACACTAAAGGACAATGTCCCGAAAAATAACAATGAGAATGCACATGCAATAAGGAGAAGCAATATCCCAGTGAAGACTGCAGAGACAAACAGTACAGGTACCACTGAAGGTATCACTGATTTTGGCAGTGTGTCCGAGGGTGTAACCAGGATGAGTCATAATATTCTAACAGGGATAGAAAGAGGGGCTAGAGGTTTAACTGAGCAAGGAAGTGTGTCCCAAAGAGCAGAGATGTTTGATGCTTTGACACAGGTCAAGACTAAACAGGCCCTAATAAAAGTAAGAAAGGACAAGGACAGGATAGATTCAGATGGGACATCTCTAAAAGACACTGAACATGAGAGTGGGAATGAGCATCCAAGTAGCAATGTATCAGGGATTATCAACCGTTTTGAAAATGAACATTCCAGTGCACTATGCAAGGCCACAGATATGAATCAGGTTGAAATAACACCAAGAGAAGAATATGTGCCTCAGGGCAAGATCAATGACGAGACAAGTGGGTCCGCACATTTGACCTCTAAAGGAAACACCAGAGGGTCACTTGAAATCAGCATGGGAGGCGAAAGCACTATTCTGAAAACAAATGGTGTTGAAAGTGAAACAAAGGACACAGCTGCAGGCAAGATTGATCGTACTCCTGGCTCAGATACTGATATACAATATTCCCAAGAGAAAACTGGTCTACCTCAGCCTACAGAGAAGTATGATGCATCAAAAGTGAAGAGCCCACAAGCAGGTCTGGGTAGTATTAAAGATTCTGAGGGGAAAGGTGGTAGGTCGGAGTCTAGAGAGAGGATTGAAACACCCAAAGTGAACATCCCAGAAGCGAATCCCGTCACCACTAATGATTCCAAAGAGCAAAGCAATAAGGCTAAACTTGGAGATATGAAGGCCGCATTCACAGTGAAGATTCCAGATGCAGGTCCCGGTGACACTAAGGTTTCCAAAGAGAGAGGTGAGGGGGCTAAGTCTGGAGAGATGACGGATGCCTCAAAAAAGAACAACCCAGTGGCGAGTCTAGTCGCCACCAATCTTCCAAAAGTGCAGGATGGAATACCTAAATCTGCAGAACAGAAGGACACACCCAAAGTGAAGATCACAGATATGAGCCTAGCTGCCACTAGTGTTTCCAAAGGGCAAGGTGGAATACCTAAATCTGGAGAAAAGAAGGACACACCCAAAGTGAAGATCGCAGATATGAGCCTAACTGCCACTAGTGTTTCGAAAGATGAAGGTGACACTAAGGTTTCCAAAGTGAAGGGTGATGGGGCTAAATCTGGAGAGGTGAAGGATGCCTCCAAAAAGAAAATACAAGAGGCGAGTCTAAATACCACCAATCTTTCCAAAGAGCAAAGTGAAATACCTGAGCCTAGAGAAAAGTATGATACACCCAAAGTTAAAATCACAGAGACGACTCCAGTTACCACTTGTGATTCCAAAGAGCAAGGTGATGGGCCTAAACCTGTTGAGATGAAGGCCGCATCCACAGTGAAGATTCCTGAGGCAGGTCACGGTAACATTAATGTTTCCAAAGAAAAAGGTGGCACTAAGGTTTCCAAAGTGAAAGGTGATGGGGCTAAGTCTGGAGAGATGAAGAATGCCTCCAAAGAGAACAACGCCGTGGCAAGTCTGGTCCCAACTCGTCTTCCAAAACTGCAGGGTGGAATACCCAAATCTGGAGAAAAGAAGGACACACCCAAAGTGAAGATCGCAGATATGAGCCTAACTGCCACTAGTGTTTCCAAAGATCAAGGGGGAATACCTAAATCTGGAGCAAAGGAGGACACACCCAAAGTGATCATCACAGAGACGAGCCTAGCTAATACTAGTGTTTCCACAAGGCAAGGTGGAACACCTAAATCTGGAGAAAAGAAGGACACACCCAAAATGAAGAACACAGAGACGAGCCAAGCTGCCACACGTGTTTCGAAAGATAAAGGTGACACTAAGGTTTCCAAAGTGAAGGGTGATGGGGCTAAGTCTGGAGAGGTGAAGGATGCCTCCAAAAAGAAAATACCAGAGGCGAGTCTAGACACCACCAATCTTTCCAAAGAGCAAGGTGAAATACCTGAGCCTAGAGAAAAGTATGATACACCCAAAGTTAAAATCACAGAGACGACTCCAGTTACCACTTGTGATTCCATAGAGCAAGGCGATGGGCCTGAACCTGTTGAGATGAAGGCCGCATCCACAGTGAAGATTCCAGATGCAGGTCGTGGTAACATTAATGTTGCCAAAGAGCAAGGTGGCACCAAGGTTTCCAAAGTGAAAGGTGATGGGGCTAAACCTGGAGATATAAAGGATGCCTCCAAAAAGAAAGTCCCAGTGGGGAGTCTAGTCGCCACCAGTCTTTCAAAAGTGCAGAGTGAAATACCTAAATCTGGAGAAAAGAAGGACACACCCAAAGTGGAGATCACAGATATGAGACTAGCTGCCACTAGTGTTTCCAAAGATCAAGAAGAAATACCTAAATCTGGAGAAATGAAGGACACACCAAAAATGAACATGACAGAGACAAGCCTAGCTAATACTACTGTTTCCAAAGAGCAAGGTGGAAGACATAAATCTGGAGAAAAGAAGGACACACCCAAAGTGAAGATTGCAGATATGAGCCAAGCTGCCACTAGTGTTTCAAAAGATCAAGGGGAAATACCTAAATCTGGAGAAAAGAAGGACACACCCAAAGTGAAGATCACAGAGACGGGCCTAGCTGCCACTAGTGTTTCCAAAGAGGAAGGTGGACTACCTCAATCTGGAGAAAAGAAGGACACACCCAAAATGAAGATCACAGACACGAGCCAAGCTGACACTCGTGTTTCGAAAGATAAAGGTGCCACTAAGGTTTCCAAAGTGAAGGGTGATGGGGCTAGGTCTGGAGAGGTGAAGGATGCCTCCAAAAAGAAAATACCAGAGGCGAGTCTAGACACCACTAATCTTTCCAAACAGCAAGGTGAAATACCTGAGCCTAGAGAAAAGTATGACACACCCAAAGTTAAAATCACAGAGACGACTCCAGTTACCACTTGTGATTCCAAAGAGCAAGGTGATGGGCCTGAACCTGTTGAGATGAAGGCCGCATCTACAGTGAAGATTCCAGAGGCAGGTCGCGGTAACATTAATGTTTCCAAAGAAAAAGGTGGCAACAAGGTTTCCAAAGTGAAAGGTGATGGGGCTAAGTCTGGAGAGATGAAGAATGCCTCCAAAGAGAACAACGCAGTGGCGAGTCTGGTCCCAACTCGTCCTCCAAAAGTGCAGGGTGGAATACCCAAATCTGGAGAAAAGAAGGACACACCCAAAGTGAAGATCGCAGATATGAGCCTAACTGCCACTAGTGTTTCCAAAGAGCAAGGTGCCACTAAGGTTTCCAAAGTGAAAGGTGATGGGGCTAAACCTGGAGATATAAAGGATGCCTCCAAAAAGAAAATCCCAGTGGGGAGTCTAGTCGCCACCAGTCTTTCAAAAGTGCAGCGTGAAATACCTAAATCTGGAGAAAAGAAGGACACACCCAAAGTGGAGATCACAGATATGAGCCTAGCTGCCACTAGTGTTTCCAAAGATCAAGGAGAAATACCTAAATCTGGAGCAAAGGAGGACACACCCAAAGTGATCATCACAGAGACGAGCCTAGCTAATACTAGTGTTTCCACAAGGCAAGATGGAACACCTAAATCTGGAGAAAAGAAGGACACACCCAAAATGAAGAACACAGAGACGAGCCAAGCTGCCACACGTGTTTCGAAAGATAAAGGTGACACTAAGGTTTCCAAAGTGAAGGGTGATGGGGCTAAGTCTGGAGAGGTGAAGGATGCCTCCAAAAAGAAAATACCAGAGGCGAGTCTAGACACCACCAATCTTTCCAAACAGCAAGGTGAAATACCTGAGCCTAGAGAAAAGTATGACACACCCAAAGTTAAAATCACAGAGACGACTCCAGTTACCACTTGTGATTCCAAAGAGCAAGACGATGGGCCTAAACCTGTTGAGATGAAGGCCGCATCCACAGTGAAGATTCCAGAGGCAGGTCCCGGTAACATTAATGTTGCCAAAGAGCAAGGTGGCACCAAGGTTTCCAAAGTGAAAGGTGATGGGGCTAAACCTGGAGATATAAAGGATGCCTCCAAAAAGAAAGTCCCAGTGGGGAGTCTAGTCGCCACCAGTCTTTCAAAAGTGCAGAGTGAAATACCTAAATCTAGAGAAAAGAAGGACACACCCAAAGTGGAGATCACAGATATGAGACTAGCTGCCACTAGTGTTTCCAAAGATCAAGAAGAAATACCTAAATCTGGAGAAATGAAGGACACCCCCAAAGTGAACATGACAGAGACGAGCCTAGCTAATTCTACTGTTTCCAAAGAGCAAGGTGGAAGACATAAATCTGGAGAAAAGAAGGACACACCCAAAGTGAAGATTGCAGATATGAGCCAAGCTGCTACTAGTGTTTCAAAAGATCAAGGGGAAATACCTAAATCTGGAGAAAAGAAGGACACACCCGAAGTGAAGATCACAGAGACGGGCCTAGCTGCCACTCGTGTTTCGAAAGATAAAGGTGACACTAAGGTTTCCAAAGTGAAGGGTGATGGGGCTAAATCTGGAGAGGTGAAGGATGCCTCCAAAAAGAAAATACAAGAGGCGAGTCTAGACACCACCGATCTTTCCAAAGAGCAAGGTGAAATACCTGAGCCTAGAGAAAAGTATGATACACCCAAAGTTAAAATCACAGAGACGGCTCCAGTTACCACTTGTGATTCCAAAGAGCAAGGTGATGGGCCTGAACCTGTTGAGATGAAGGCCGCATCCACAGTGAAGATTCCTGAGGCAGGTCGCGGTAACATTAATGTTTCCAAAGAAAAAGGTGGCACCAAGGTTTCCAAAGTGAAAGGTGATGGGGCTAAGTCTGGAGAGATGAAGAATGCCTCCAAAGAGAACAACGCAGTGGCAAGTCTGGTTCCCACTCGTCTTCCAAAAGTGCAGGGTGGAATACCCAAATCTGGAGAAAAGAAGGACACACCCAAAGTGAAGATCGCAGATTTGAGCCTAACTGCCACTAGTGTTTCCAAAGAGCAAGGTGACACTAAGGTTTCCAAAGTGAAAGGTGATGGGGCTAAACCTGGAGATATAAAGGATGCCTCCAAAAAGAAAATCCCAGTGGGGAGTCTAGTCGCCACCAGTCTTTCAAAAGTGCAGAGTGAAATACCTAAATCTGGAGAAAAGAAGGACACACCCAAAGTGGAGATCACAGATATGAGCCTAGCTGCCACTAGTGTGTCCAAAGATCAAGGGGAAATACCTAAATCTGGAGAGAAGAAGGACACACCCAAAATGAAGATCACAGAGACGAGCCAAGCTGCCACACGTGTTTCCAAAGATAAAGGTGACACTAAGGTTTCCAAAGTGAAAGATGATGGGGCTAAGTCTGGAGAGATGAAGAATGCCTCCAAAGAGAACAACGCAGAGGCAAGTCTGGTCCCAACTCGTCTTTCAAAACTGCAGGGTGGAATACTTAAATCTGGAGAAAAGAAGGACGCACCCAAAGTGAAGATCCCAGATATGAGCCAAGCTGCCACTAGTGTTTCTAAGGTTTCCAAAGAGCAAGGTGACACTAAGGTTTCCAAATTGAAAGGTGATGGGGCTAAGTCTGGAGAGATGAAGGATGCCTCCAAAAAGAACAATCTAGAGACGAGTCTAGTCGCCAATAATCTTTCAAAAGAGCAAAGTAGTATACCTAAATCTGGAGAACAGAAGGACTCACCCAAAGTGAAGATCCCAGATACGAGTCTAGTTACCACTATTGTTCCCAACGAGCAGCGTGGTAGGCCTAAAGTCCGAGAGGGGAAGGATGCGCCCGGAGCGAAGATCCAAGAAGCAGGCCCGGATAACACTGAGATTCACAAAGAGAAAGGCGAATGGGCTAAACCTGGAGAGATGAAGGCCACATCCATCGTAAAGGTTCCAGAGGCGGGTCCCGGTAACACAAATGTTTCCAAAGAGAAAGGTAACGCTGAGAAATGTGATGGGGTTGAAACTGGAAAGATGAAGGTCGCATCCATTGTGGCGATTACAGAGGCAGGTCCGGATAACACTAATGTTTCCAATGAGCAAGTTGGAAGGCCTAAGGCTGGAGAGAAGAATGATATACCCAAAGTGAAAATCCCAGAAACAAGTCTAGTTACCACTAGTTTTTCCAAAGAGCAGAGTGGTAGGCCTCAATTTTGGGAAAAGAAGGATGCAACCAAAGTGAAGATCCAAGAAGCAAGACCGGGTAATATTCAGGTTTCCAAAGAAAAGAGTGCTATTAAGGTTTCCAAAGTGAAAGGTGAGGGGGCCAAGCCTGGACAGATAAAGGCTGGAACTATAGTGAAGATTCAAGAGACAGGCAATGGTTACGTTAATGATAACAAGATGAAAGGTACTGGGGCTAAGACAGTAGAGATGAAGGTGGCATCCAAAGTAAAAACTAAGTTTTCCAAAGAGAATGGTGATTGGACTAATGCGAGAGAGAGAAAGGATACATCCAAACTAAAGATGCAAGGTAACACTACGGTTTCCCAAGGGAAAGAGAAAGGTGATAGGCCTAATCGGGGAGAGAGAATCGATGCACCTCAGAGCACAAACAGCATTTTCAAAGAAACGCCTAAGCCAGAGGAGCACCCGGGTAACACTCCCGATTCTCAAAAGCGTGATACCAAACATGCCCCCAACATGGCGATTCTGGAGGCTCCAAGTAAGACTCAAAATTCACCAGATCATGACGCTAGGCAAAATACCAAAACAAGAAAGGATGCACCCAAAGTGAAGATCTCAGATGCAGGTCCGAGTAGTACTAATATTTCCCGAGAGAGAGATGGTAGTCCTAAGTCTGGGGGGAAGAAGGTTGCTTCCAAAGTGAAGACCCCAGAGACAGTTTCTGATATGACGAGAGATGCCCCAGTGCAAGAAGGTAGGCCTAAGCCAGAAGTGAAGAAGGCTGGTGTGGGAAACACCAAAGCTTCCCAAGATACAAGAAATGGGCTAAACCCAGGACAGAGAATTGGTGCATCAAACATGAAGATCCCAGCAGGTAAAGGTAGTAGGCCAAAGCTTGGGGACAGCATACATGCCCCCAAAGCAACAATTCGAGAGGGAGCGAATGGTAGCATTAAAGGTTCTCAAGAGCATGATGGTGGGCAAATTGTGGGAGAAGCGAAGAATGCAACCAAAGCGAAGATTCCAGAAGCATATCCGGGTTACATAAAAAGGTCCCTTTGTGAAAGAGAAGGAGAAAAGAATGATACACTCACCGCGAATATCCAAGAAGAGAGTCTGGATTATACTGATTATTCCCGAGATCAAAGTAATAAGCCTAAACCTGGAGAACAGAAGGATGCTCCCAAAGTGATGATTCCAGAAACAGCTCGGGGGAAGACGCAAGGTTTCCAAAAGCCTGATGGTAGGCAAAATATGGGAGAGAGGGTGGATGCACCCAAAGACAAGATCCTTGATATGGGTTCAGGAAACACAGAAATGGCCCAAGAAGAAAATGGTAGGTCACGGCCAGGAGAGAGGAATGCCACAGTGGAGCTTCCAGAGGCAGCTCTGGCAAACACAATGTTTAACCAAGTGAAAGGTGGTAGGCCTCATCCTGGGGACAGCAAATATGCCACCACAGGAACGATATCAGAGCCAGATCCGGGTAACACTCAATATTTCCAAGAACAGGAAAGCAGGAAAAATACGAAGATGGGTGAAGTGAGGATTCCAGATGGTGGTAATCCTCAACCTGAAGACAGGAACGATGCACCTATAGTGATGACCCTAGATGCAGGTACAGATAACAACAAACTATCCCAAAAGCAAGATGGGATTCTTAAGTCTGGAATGAGGAAACTGAAGATCCCAGAAACATATCTTAATAACACCCAAAAGTCCCCAAAACAAGATGATAGGACTGATCAGAGTGAGAGGAAGGATGCACCAAAAGTGAATATCACAAAGGCAGGTGCGGATAACACTAAACATCCCCAAGAGCATGGTGGTAGGCTTAAGCGTGGAGGGAGGAAGGAAGCGTCCAAAAGGCATGTTCCAAAGGCAGCGCCGTGTAACACTCAAGATTTTCGAGACAAAGTCAGTGGACTTAAGCTTTTAGAGAATATTGCATCCACAGTAAAGATTCAAGAAGTAGGCCCCGGCAATACTAAAGAGTCCCAGTTGCATGTTGGTAAGTCTAAGCCTGGAGGCAGGAAATATGCACCTAAACTGAATGTTCGAGGCCTTGGTTACCCTACTGAGTCACACGTACGTGGCGGTAAGTCAACAACTTTGATAAGAAAGGAAGCACCAAAAGCGAAGATCCTAGAGACAGGTCCGCGTAAGATTAAAGAATTCCCCAAACAAGGTCGTAGGCCTGGAGAGAGGAAATATGCACAGACAAAAGTGTTCTCAAGAATAAAGAAATGCGCATCCAACCGGATGCCTCGTGTCATGAAAGCAACTACAAGTAGAACTATTAACAAAAGAAAGCCTGCTACGGCTGTCCATAGTGTACACCCCAGTGGAAAGGATTCAGAGTTTCAGGGTGGAGGGACCAACATGACTGTTGTTACATCATTTCGGGGTCCAGTGTTTTCAAATCCGAAATGGGACGGTGATTCTACAATGAAAGACATTTTCTCATGGGGGGCGGCCATTGATACTGTTATCTCCAAACAAACCATCGAAGAACAAGAATCCACTTCTCGTGGAAGCAAGCAGGCAAAGGTATCACATGGAGATCACTTGAACTGTTACTGTCATTACAAATGTTCCTGTAAATTTGACGATACCTGTTTTTGCGGAAGGCAAGCAGACCACAGGTAGTTTTTTAGATGTACTGTTGTTATACTTAAGGATAATTAGACTAATCATTTTAGTTTGTAGTATAAGGTACACACGAGACAGCTTCTAATACGTCCCTTAGAGAAATCTTTTCGTTTGCGTGCATGTCTTCATCTATTGCAAACATTTCGTATTTTCGAGTTCTCCAAAACCCAGGCGTCTATCAATATAAGTATTACACAATAGTAGTTTGTTCGTGCCTATTCATTTTCGTGAATTAATGTAACAGCTATCAAGTTAGTGTTTATGTACATAGGCGTTTGAGGAGGTTCAACTGTCAGTAAAAGTTGGTTCTTCATAAACATGGTTAATCGCGACTACGAGACAAAGAGTTTGCGCTTCAGTAAAACCTCGTTAAATTGAACTTCACTTACTGGTTTAAGACGAAGTACCAATACAATCCTTATCCTTTTTTTGGTAAGAGCTCGGCACTACTCTTGTCCCGAACTTAGGATAACTTATGTTTTCGACGGTCCCCTTGAAATCGAGTCAAGGGGGTTCACTATGTACAGCATATGTAAATTATTTTGGGACACAGTACATACTTAAAATAATGATTTGATATTCCCTGGCCACAATTTGACATCATTATTTTGACTTTGACATCATTATTTTGACGTCTTCTATTTTTATTCATATACCAGTGGCCATGGCTTGCCGTCGCTTTCATGCTTATGATATATTAATCCTGCAGTGAAGTAAAACAGTTTGAAAGTCGGAGGTTTTATCGGTGTTGTACTTATAAAAAGTAGTATTTCGACTTTGTATATATCCATGCTGGTTTCATTATTATAATATTCAATGTTTACAAACATTTTCTCACTTTGGTGGTAGATGGTAGATGTTATTTTATTACCCTGTCTGCTATAGGCATTTGTCAGAGAGGTACTGGCTGTACGTGCATTCTGTCATTGTTAATTATTTACTGATATTTCGGCGGTTAATCAAGACTGAGTTGGTGTTCTCGATACATTTCATTAAGAGATTCATATCTGTGCAAGTGACATTCGTAAAATTTGTTTATTTCAAATACGAATGTTATGTCAACGCCAGAAAATAACCAGTCTCGATTATCTGCCCAAACAGATTCCACTGGGCGTAAAAGGCAAGACAGTGGTAAACATTAAATGAACGGATCACTGAAAACTAGTAATGACATCGGGTGTTTGCGGTGTTCAAACACAATATTTAGAAGCTTTATGGCAGTTTTAATTAACTATTAATTACACTATTAATTTAACGTTATTACTTCAAGTTTTATTTTGATACAATTCGAAGTAAAATGCATACCCTTCCATTTAATGACTTACTGTACTTTATCATTTAAATCAATGTTATGGATCGACAATTTTGTGCCACTATAGCACATGTGATACTTCTGTGTACATAGAAGGCGGGGCGGTCGGGTAGCCTAGTGGTTAAAGCGTTCGCTCGTCGCGCCGAAGACCCAGGTTCGATTCCCGACATGGGTACAATGTGTGAAGCCCATTTCTGATCTCCCCCGCCGTGATATTACTGAAATATTGCTAAAAGCGGCGTAAAACCATACTCACTCACTCACATAGAAGGTGTTCGTCCATGAAAGTATATGTACATGTACTAATACTGGAAAATATCAAGTTATACATTTTTGTGGTATTTCTGTCAATCTTGTTTTCATAAAAGGTGCAAACTTGTGGTATCTCGGCCCTTTTTGAAAATTTACTGTAGATGCATTAGACGTTATGGGATATATTGATTGCGGTATGACAGTGTTAAGTTTCTTTCGTCGATTAAAATTGTAATATATATTGAGTTTAGCTGTTGTAACTAAAACTGAATGAATTAAGAAAAGAGGATTGTTTTCAGTCTCAAATGAAGTTCTTGACAACGGATCTCGTCGCTATGACAACGGATCACGTCGCTATGACAACGGATCACGTCGCTATATGGTTGAAATAATGCAATGCAACGTAAGATTCTAAATTCTAACTCACTGACAAAGGATGTGCAAAACTTTGTGCAATGGAAACCAACACTATGAAAGAATCGAATATTCTACCTGAAGTGGTTATAATGTAGGTTTTACATGCAGTTTGCACTACTGTTTACCTTGGCATTTGAGAAAAGACGAATACCCGCATTAAAGTGCATCATCAAGCATTCGACCCGTGAAGATCCGGGTGAGGATAGGTCTTTAGCAACCCATGCTTGCCGTAAAAGGCGACTATGCTTGTCGTAAGAGGCGACTAACGGGATCTGGTGGTCAGGCTCGCTGACTTGGTTGATGCATGTCATCGATCCCAATTGCGTGGATCGATGCTCATGATGTCAATCACAGAATTTTTTGGTCCAGACTCGATTATTTACAGACCGCCGCCATATAGCTGGAATATTGCTGAGTGCGGCGTTAAACAACAAACAAACAAACAAAATCAGTCAGTTGTAACATTTCACTGAGCTCTGGAATATTTGACCCTGGTCTTTCAGCACATTAATAAGATTGCGCACTAGCGTTGCGATTATGTTTGGCATAACAAATATAAGTGTATGTGACCAGCAGATGTGCACTGTTCAAATAGTAGCAGTGGGTTTATAGCTTACTTCAAAGCACTCGAACCTCTTGCAAATAAACATAAAAGTAACGACCAAAATAGCCTTCTTTACAAACTAGCCTTGGCATACCGCTACCGGTGCTCTACAACACATAATTTATCCAGTGTGTTCAATACCTCGAACATACTACAATGTTAATCCAGCCGGAGATAAAGTGATATGGGATACCGTCCTGACTAGCGATCCAAACTCTTACCTGACAAGTACGACCTTGTGTATGCATTGCATATTATTTATGGCAAGCCAAGTTACGCACAGCAACAGCCCAATATAACAATGCCTCCTTTCATAACGCTGTGTATTTCTTCTGTTGATAATGTCATTGTGACATAGCATGTGCAACACCATAAAGGTGGTGAGTGATTGAGTTGTGCTTAACATTTCATTGGCAAGTATGTCCTTTCATCACGGCATGGACCGCCTCCGTGGTCTAGAGCGGAAGGTTCGGGGTTCGATCCCCAGCCGCGTCATACCAAAAGACGTTAAAAGATGGTACTTGTTGCTACCCTGTCTGGCGCTCGGCATAAAGGGGCTAAAACAAGGACTGGTCGGCTCGGAGTCAGTATACTGTGTCTGAGTGGGGTATTCATGTTAAAACTGCGGCATGGTATCTCAGTGAGCTAGCACTATAAATCGGCATCAGTCCGGACTAGTACAGGCAGCCACACAAACACACACACGTGCATGCACGTCGCTATATAAGTGCAATAATCTTGGACGCGACGTTAAACTCGATTTCACCTCACCTCACCTCATCACGGCATGTCAATTTGATCTGTTATTGAATGGACGTTTACCTCATTGGTACCACAGGGTATGATTCTGACAGACCAAATGTCACATTCAGGGCGAATGTGAAATTTAGCCCAAAAGTACTATTTGGTGATTATGTAAATAATGTTTCAGGTCGTTGTCAGTAATATTCCAGGCAGAACATAAGGTAGCTGAGTCTGATCAGGGGTTAATAGTTTGAGCAACGACCAAAGCCGTCTGTGAATGACAAAAGACAATCAGACAAATCACATGTGTTAAGCACATATCATCAGTTTAGTTCGTCTTGTCATTTAGTCTCAAGGGTAGTTTGATCAAGGTTACAACATTAAAGGCCTCAGCTAAAAAACGTTTTATGGCAGGCACGTGGACATTTCCAAATATGACCCATCAGAGATAGAATAATGTCTGATACAATTACCTATTATGACGTGTACCATGTGTTCCTGTGCTTTTTCAAGTGAACAATTGACTTGCCTTTGCATGTGCATGCCACAAATATCACTGATATTGGACTCCTGGATATTTCTTATGCTTGTGAACATGAGATTGTCGCTTACATTATAGGGTGCTGGGGATCTTCAATGCCACGGAATTGTCCTCATAGATACTTGCGTACGAATGCTTAAACAGAGTAGAAACGCCTAGATGAAAACATTTAATGATACCAGTCTAACGGCATTTATTGACATCTGACGAATAGACTAAATTTCACAATATGATTTCAGTTGCTGGTTACATGACACGGTTATGAACATGTGTCGCAACACATCCGTGCCCACACAGGATTATATAGAGTAGCCTCATCGTGTCGCATCATATCCGTGCCCACACAGGATTATATAGAGTAGCCTCATCGTGTCGCATCACATCCGTGCCCACACAGGATTATATAGAGTAGCCTCATCGTGTCGCATCACATCCGTGCCCACACAGGATTATATAGAGTAGCCTCATCGTGTCGCATCACATCCGTGCCCACACAGGATTATATAGAGTAGCCTCATCGTGTCGCATCACATCCGTGCCCACACAGGATTATATAGAGTAGCCTCATCGTGTCGCATCACATCCGTGCCCACACAGGATTATATAGAGTAGCCTCATCGTGTCGCATCACATCCGTGCCCACACAGGATTATATAGAGTAGCCTCATCGTGTCGCATCACATCCGTGCCCACACAGGATTATATAGAGTAGCCTCATCGTGTCGCATCACATCCGTGCCCACACAGGATTATATAGAGTAGCCTCATCGTGTCGCATCACATCCGCGCCCACACAGGATTATATAGAGTAGCCTCATCGTGTCGCATCACATCCGTGCCCACACAGGATTATATGGAGTAGCCTCATCGTGTCGCATCACATCCGTGCCCACACAGGATTGACTATATAGTTTAGCAACATCATGTCGCATCACATCCGTGCCCACACAGGATTGACTATATAGTTTAGCAACATCATGTCGCATCACATCCGTGCCCACACAGGATTGACTATATAGTTTAGCAACATCATGTCGCATCACATCCGTGCCCACACAGGATTGACTATATAGAGTAGCCACATCATTTTGCAACATATCCGTGCCCACACAGGATTGACTACATAGAGGAGCCTCATCGTGTCGCAACACATCCGTGCCCACACAGGATTATATAGCGTAGCCACATCATGTCGCATCACATCCGTGCCCACACAGGATTGACTATATAGAGTAGCCACATCGTGTCGCATCACATCCGTGCCCACACAGGATTGACTATATGAGTAGCCACATCATGTCGCATCACATCCGCGCCCACACAGGATTGACTACATAGAGGAGCCTCATCGTGTCGCATCACATCCGCGCCCACACAGGATTGACTACATAGAGGAGCCTCATCGTGTCGCATCACATCCGTGCCCACACAGGATTGATTATATGAGTAGCCACATCGTGTCGCATCACATCCGTGCCCACACAGGATTGACTACATAGAGTAGCAACATCGTGTCGCATCACATCCGTGCCCACACAGGATTGACTATATAGAGTAGCCACATCGTGTCGCATCACATCCGCGCCCACACAGGATTGACTACATAGAGGAGCCTCATCGTGTCGCATCACATCCGTGCCCACACAGGATTGATTATATGAGTAGCCACATCGTGTCGCATCACATCCGTGCCCACACAGGATTGACTACATAGAGGAGCCTCATCGTGTCGCATCACATCCGTGCCCACACAGGATTGATTATATGAGTAGCCACATCGTGTCGCATCACATCCGTGCCCACACAGGATTGATTATATGAGTAGCCACATCGTGTCGCATCACATCCGTGCCCACACAGGATTGACTATATAGAGTAGCAACATCGTGTCGCATCACATCCGTGCCCACACAGGATTGACTATATAGAGTAGCCACATCGTGTCGCATCACATCCGCGCCCACACAGGATTTACTATATAGTTTAGCCACATCGTGTCGCATCACATATGTGCCCACACAGGATTGACTATATAGTTTAGCAACATCATGTCGCATCACATCCGTGCCAACACAGGATTGACTATATAGAGTAGCCACATCGTGTCGCATCACATCCGTGCCCACACAGGATTGACTATATAGTGTAGCCACATCATGTCGCATCACATCCGTGCCCACACAGGATTGACTATATAGTTTAGCAACATCATGTCGCATCACATCCGTGCCAACACAGGATTGACTATATAGAGTAGCCTCATCGTGTCGCAACACATCCGTGCCCACACAGGATTGACTATATGAGTAGCCACATCGTGTCGCATCACATCCGTGCCCACATAGGATTATATAGAGTAGCAACATCGTGTCGCATCACATCCGTGCCCACACAGGATTGACTATATGAGTAGCCACATCGTGTCGCATCACATCCGTGCCCACACAGGATTGACTATATGAGTAGCCACATCGTGTCGCATCACATCCGTGCCCACACAGGATTGACTATATAGAGTAGCCTCATCGTGTCGCAACACATCCGTGCCCACACAGGATTGACTACATAGAGTAGCCTCATCGTGTCGCAACACATCCGTGCCCACACAGGATTGACTACATAGAGTAGCCACATCGTGTCGCATCACATCCGCGCCCACACAGGATTGACTATATAGAGTAGCCACATCGTGTCGCATCACATCCGTGCCCACACAGGATTGACTATATGAGTAGCCACATCGTGTCGCATCACATCCGTGCCCACACAGGATTGACTATATAGAGTAGCCTCATCGTGTCGCATCACATCCGTGCCCACACAGGATTGACTACATAGAGTAGCCTCATCGTGTCGCAACACATCCGTGCCCACACAGGATTTACTATATAGTTTAGCAACATCGTGTCGCATCACATCCGTGCCCACACAGGATTGACTATATGAGTAGCCACATCGTGTCGCATCACATCCGTGCCCACACAGGATTGACTATATGAGTAGCCACATCGTGTCGCATCACATCCGTGCCCACACAGGATTATATAGAGTAGCAACATCGTGTCGCATCACATCCGTGCCCACACAGGATTTACTATATAGTTTAGCAACATCGTGTCGCATCACATCCGTGCCCACACAGGATTGACTATATGAGTAGCCACATCGTGTCGCAACACATCCGTGCCCACACAGGATTGACTATATGAGTAGCCACATCGTGTCGCATCACATCCGTGCCCACACAGGATTGACTACATAGAGGAGCCTCATCGTGTCGCAACATATCCGTGCCCACACAGGATTAAAAAGAGTAGCCTCATCATATCGCAGCACATCCGTTGCAACACAGGAGTATATAGAGTACACCTATATGTAGATGTTGCTAGGTACACGAAACACATTTGGTTGTTTCGTTCCCAAATGGCAAAAACACCGATACTGAAATCTATTATGTAATTACGTTGTGTGACTGATCCATGGATATAGTCAATCGACTACCATCTCAATTATTTCCTGCTTTTTCGCATCATATGACTTTGTACTTGCAACCATCTGGAGGAGCTGACAGGGTTCATCTGGAGGAGCTGACAGGGTTCATCTGGAGGAGCTGGCGGGGTTTATCTGGAGGAGCTGACGGGGTTCATCTGGAGGAGCTGACGGGGTTCATCTGGAGGAGCTGACAGGGTTCATCTGGAGGAGCTGGCGGGGTTCATCTGGAGGAGCTGACAGGGTTCATCTGGAGGAGCTGACGGGGTTTATCTGGAGGAGCTGGCGGGGTTCATCTGGAGGAGCTGACGGGGTTCATCTGGAGGAGCTGACGGGGTTCATCTGGAGGAGCTGACGGGGTTCATCTGGAGGAGCTGACGGGGTTCATCTGGAGGAGCTGACAGGGTTCATCTGGAGGAGCTGACAGGGTTCATCTGGAGGGGCTGACGGGGTTCATCTGGAGGGGCTGGCGGGGTTCATCTGGAGGAGCTGACAGGGTTCATCTGGAGGAGCTGACGGGGTTCATATGGAGGGGCTGACAGGGTTCATCTGGAGGAGCTGGCGGGGTTCATCTGGAGGGGCTGACAGGGTTCATCTGGAGGAGCTGACGGGGTTCATCTGGAGGAGCTGACGGGGTTTATCTGGAGGAGCTGACGGGGTTCATCTGGAGGAGCTGACAGGGTTCATCTGGAGGAGCTGACAGGGTTCATCTGGAGGGGCTGACAGGGTTCATCTGGAGGGGCTGACAGGGTTCATCTGGAGGGGCTGACAGGGTTCATCTGGAGGAGCTGACGGGGTTCATCTGGAGGAGCTGACGGGGTTCATCTGGAGGAGCTGACGGGGTTTATCTGGAGGAGCTGACAGGGTTCATCTGGAGGAGCTGACGGGGTTCATCTGGAGGAGCTGACGGGGTTCATCTGGAGGAGCTGACAGGATTCTTACCAACTCTTCATCAGGTATCAGTGGTATATAAGGCATTTGGCAGAATGAGATCAATGTCATAAGTAGATATTTCAAAAAGAAAACTTTGACATTCTTGATATTTAAATACAGGAGGAGTCATGTTTACCAGGTGTGTAGTTTTGTAAGTGAAACTCTGCTTCAGCACGACTGCATTCCTATTGAAAAGAATAATAGACCATCCAAGATCAGCCTACTATTCTATATTAAGATCTATTCAACATCTATCTATTACCTACAACTTATTCGCGTTAATACGGTCGTATGAAGAGTACCAAGAAAGACACTCACGTCTATCAACACGCCACAAAGAGCTTTTTATCACAGATACACCCCTGTATTAGTCAGTGACTTGATACAGGAAGTGACATGCCCCGTTATACCGCGTCCGCGTTAAAGACAGATATTTGTTATGCTTGGCCTAGCCTATTACTAGGTGACATTGACCTCCACAGCGACAGATTAAACATGGCCGCATAGCCCTTGCTGTATGACAACCACAAACCCGCTATACCGCAGCCTGTACGAGAGGATTATGGATTATGGAATGTCTGCTTGACAACGATCTAGATTCAGCTCAAACACTCTAACAAGGTAGGTTGTTTCACATGTTATCTTTCTGCACAAGGTGTCACATTATACACCATACACTACGTGTCCCAACAATAAGCGAACTGATCAAATCTGTTCCTATCGGGTGACGAAGCAGATTTGTAGTGAAAAGCGCGAAGCTACAAACATTGAGCTCAGAGAGAGCAACTGTATTGACGTCCTTCTCGTCATCCGCAATGATTTGGTTGGTTGAGTGTCATTGCATGGATCGGTGCTCACACTATCAACCTCTAGTTTGCCTGTTCAAAATATCCTTGTATAGCAGATATCGTTCTCATGACATTGGTTGCATAACAGGAGAGGGTGAGCCGTGCTCATGATGCGAAACCTGTGACAGAGTGAGTGAGTGAGTGAGTTGGGTTTAACGCCGCTTTTAACAGTATTACAGTTATATCGCGGCGTGTCAGCTTAATGTGGGAGGAAAGCCCGAAGTGATGCAGGTCTCAGACGTTTACCACTTCGGTGAAACCCACGAGCACGGGTATGGTGCTGACAAACCTAGAAACATAATCGGGGCGAATCGGGATACGAACCCACAATCATAGGTTTCTGGCGTGTCCGAAGGGACGCAACTCTTCACAGCGAATCGCGGCGCCTTAGACGACTGGGCCCCCCGTGCCCCCACCTGTGACAGAAATATCGGCTCTCTGAAGGAGGAAATCCACTCATTCTGACCGGAATGTCGGTGAGAAACTCGAATGGTAATAACGTGTCACCTAATGGTCACCACTTGACATTACCATACACCATAGATGTTTTCATTACCTCAACACCTGTGCTTAAATCACGCGTGTAGGTTATATGGAATTAATGGACAACTATAATATAACTGCAAGAAGTCCCTTCAACCTAAATCTATTATCACACATCGTAAATATAAACTCTGAGTGTGTGAATGAGTGTGTTTTTACGCCGCTTTTAGCAATATTTCAGCAATATCACGGCGGGGGACACCTGAAATGGGCTTCACACATTGTACCCATATCAGGAATCGAACCCGGGTCTTTGGCGTGACGAGGGAACGCTTTAACCACTGGGCTACCCGACCGCCCCTATAAAAGCCAGAGAATAACTATAATATATAGTCCCGATTAGCCGCCGAAACAGATCCCAGTGGGTTTAAAAGGCAAAATAGTGGTGAAAATTATATGACTGGACCATTGAAAATCAGTGATGACACCAGGTTTTCGAGAAATGCACTCAAATACAGTTCATTATTCTAGGAAATGGCCGCGAGCATCAACACCTTAGCCGTGGGTGTGAAGGACAAGTCTACCCTGGCAAAAGAAATGTATAGCAGTGGAAACCTGAAGGGTGCTTTGGAACAGTTTAAGCTTGCTTTAAGGGATTCAAAACGTCTTATAAGAAGGAAGAGGGAAAGTGTCGTTCTTTGTAAACTAAACCTGGCTTCAGCGCAGATCGGTAGTGAGATTGAAACCGAAAAGACAGAGGGAAGAAACACTCTGGAGCGGTTACTTGAAGAGAACAAAGAGGACAACAGCTTGTTAGCATGTATTAACTTCAATCTAGCCCTCACATCGGCGGACAACTCGAGCAAGGAGACGTATCTGGAGACATGTCTGGAGAAGCTGAAGCATGTTGATGACAAGGATGACAAGATTAAAGGGGAGACTCGGCTTCTGAAGCAGAAGGTTCTTGAGGAAAGGCTTCGTCTAATAGATGTTATTGAGAAAGAGGAAAGGGATAAAGGGAATGTGTCGGAGGATAAACAAGAACATGATGACAAGAAACAGGAGTCTATGAAACAATTAGTGGACGTATATAAAGGTATACTAGAGGGGGCGGAGACGGAGGAGGCTGAGACAGTCAACTGCAGCAAATGTGTGTCCTGTTTGCTTGCACTGGCCAATATGACAGTAGCTCAAAATAAACATACTGCTCGAATATACGCTGACGATTGCCTAAGTATTTTAGACAAAGATTGGTCGCGTGTCCAAGGTAAGATGATCCTTCTTTTGACCATTCATCCATGTTGCTTGTTGTAGACATGAAAAACATATCTATTGTCAAGACGTAAAGTAACAGAAAGGTACCTATGTAACAGTAGTGACACATCCTTGGACGCTTGTCGCGGTCGCAGATTTGCATGTCCGGCATTCAGGGACAGTGTACCGTTGTACAAAACAACCCTAGCGCTACGGCTATCGTAAACCTATATTGAGGTATGGGAATAACGATCAGCTTAGCGATAACATTGCTTTGTACAACGGCACCCAGGTGGTTAATCTACGGTATATAGGGGAGGGGGGAGGCATTGAAAAGTGGTATACTTCCCAGGCCCACCTGTTCTTCCGTGAACTATATTAAAAAAACAAGATAGTATGCATTGATGACATATGAAAACTTCTTTGATAAGGGCATTCATTCAAGACCTTAGTGAAGCTTTCAATTGTTACATCATAACTTTTTAAAATATATTTTCAGTTAAAAGTTAAGCAACATCGTGATATGAATTGTTTGATAGACATTTCTTCTGTTATCCTTAAATTGTCTACTTTCCCATCACGATATGGTATAACAATATACAATACATAGGTTAGACATACCCGTCCAATAGTTTAACCTGTACGAGAATCAAATGTTATATTTGAGATAACACTTTCTTCAAAGTACTGATTCTCTTACTTGGGTCTCGTTCGGGACTCGAACCCATTCAGCCACCGAGGCTTCCACAAAAATGGAAGTCCGACAACTGGTAGTCTAGACCACGTACTTTGTGTACCCCTCTGACAAGTGTAAATGGGCACGGCTCCCATGGCCGAAAGCTATGAATACATAATGCCATTTAGAAAGTGGTCAAATGTAACCAATTTTATATTTGGGATAACACTTTCTTAGTAAAGTACAGCTTCTCGTACTTGTTTGGGTTGAGTCCCGAACATTTGTTACATTTGACCATTTTCTAAATGGCATCGTGTATTCATGTACGAAAAATCCATTTCACATTGGTATCCTGGAGCAGAGATTGCTAATGGTAATGATATGGAGTTTGTAGCTTTAGTATATATATTGATATACTGATTTCGTTGATTTCATCACAGTCAACACGTGCAATGATTTGGCCGTACTCTTCACTGAGGTTGGAGAATACCGGAAAGCAAAGCTATGTTTCCGAAGCACACAGCAATGTCAAAACATCAAGGAACGCAGAGATCAAGAGGTTAAAAGTCACATGTTTCAAAACCTAGGAGCAGTGTGTGTTTTGGAACAAAACTATAAAGAGGCTACACAATACTTCAAAGATGCTTTGGATGTGTTAGGTACGCATACCCGGACGTGTTGAAAGAGATATAGTGTGAGTTAATATTTAACGTCACATCGGCAGTATTTCAGCCATATCGTGACGAGAAAGATATATAGATTTGGAAGCCATTAATCCATGCACCGCTTCTATCTTATCCATCTAAGTTGCACCTGTTCGAAACCCAGCTGCGCCCGATATGAACTGCGACCGAATGTCAGCCATATGTCAGTACCCCTAGGTTTCACCCAAGTGGTGAACCTTTACAAACTGCGCCAGTTTGGGCTTTCAAATGTAAAGAAAAGAGGCGAGCAGGAAATGGCGGGTGTGCATGTGCCCTCGTTTTGGTGTCGCGACGGTAACCCGTTCGTGACAAGATCAATAAATATTTGAACCTACGGCCCTCATGTAATATCCCTCATATGTCACAGCAAATACTTAATCTTAGCTATGTAATCATGGCATACCGGGATATGAATACCCTTAAAACATATCAGTACATCAGTACAACGTATTCTTCAAGAGACCGCCTCTGTGGTCTAATGGTAGAGCGTCCGCCCGGAGAGCGGAAGGTCCGGGGTTCGATCCCCAGCCGCGTCATACCAAAAGACGTTAAAAGATGGTACTTGTCGCTATCCTGTCTGGCGCTCGGCATTAAGGGGCTAAAACAAGGACTGGTCGGTTCGGAGTCAGTATACTGTGTCTGAGTGGGGTATTCATGTTAAACTGCGGCATGGTATCTCAGTGTGCTAGCACTATAAATCGGCACCAGTCCGGACTAGTACAAGCAGCCACATACACATACAAGTGCAATAATCTTGGACGCGACGTTAAACCCCATTTTATCCCAACTCACCTTCTTCAAGATCTGTGTTATTTATCAGTTTGGCCGCCTCTATACTGGAGCCCAGATGACGCTTTGGTGGTATATTACAGTGTGTAAATGAATGCATGTTTGTTTCTCTTCAGATGGAAAAGCGAGCGAGCGGCGAGCTCATCTGTACCTGAACATGGGTTTTGCGTGGAGTCAGATGGGGAGGGACTGGATCTGGAAAACCTACGAGGCTTATGTCAACGCTGCTAAGTTCTCCGGCTCCGAGTGGTTGGGTAAGGATTGGAAATCCTCATTGTTAAATAATAGATATATTTTTTGTAGAATGACGTAATATATTGGACGACGTTATTTTTGAGTGGGACGTGTCTGGTAAGTTGTCCCCTATAGATGTAGCTGGGCTAAGCAGGAAAACGCAGTGGCCGAACGATCGTATCCAAAAATGGGAGAGATATGACAATCGGTCTCAGGAGAAAACGTACAGGTGATCAACGTGAAGATTGTTAAAATATAAGGGAAATATCAAACCTTCACCCACCTGTTCGTAAAATGGACTTGTCCGACATTTCCGAGGTCGGATTCTATTCAGGGTGTAATATGTTTAAAGCTTGTACATTTTATCAACATCCTAGAACAGGCTGTACATAGTTTTGAAAACTCAACCCCTCATGTAAATTCTCACTGCTGTGTTTAATTGTACGATAAACAACTCCCACTCGTCGTCTATTTCTTAATTAAGCGTGTGTGAATTTCCTGGCCAACAGATGCAGAGAAAGACCTGAGGGTAGAGGCACTGCAAGGCCTGGTACTGGCTGGAATGGCTATCCTCGACTATCGGGATGGTCTGGGACACTTCTGTGTCAATGTCGTCCTGAAACAAAACGATATGAATGCTGACGCAGCGGAAAAATGGCAAAACATAGATGTAACTGATTTCAAGAAAAGAATGAAAGACGAAATTAAAGACATGTATATGACTTGTATTGACAATGTCAACGATGCTGTCTTAAACAAGCACTCTGCAGCAGAGGGTTGAAAGGGCATTGTATATATCACAAAGGACAAGCACTCTGCAGCAGAGGGTTGAAAGAACATTGTATATATCACAAAGGACAAGCACTCTGCAGCAGAGGGTTGAAAGGAGATTGTATATATCACAAAGGACAAGCACTCTGCAGCAGAGGGTTGAGAGGACATTGTATATATCACAAAGGACAAGCACTCTGCAGCAGAGGGTTGAGAGGACATTGTATATATCACAAAGGACAAGCACTCTGCAGCAGAGGGTTGAAAGAACATTGTATATATCACAAAGGACAAGCACTCTGCAGCAGAGGGTTGAAAGGAGATTGTATATATCACAAAGGACAAGCACTCTGCAGCAGAGGGTTGAAAGGAGATTGTATATATCACAAAGGACAAGCACTCTGCAGCAGAGGGTTGAGAGGACATTGTATATATCACAAAGGACAAGCACTCTGCAGCAGAGGGTTGAGAGGACATTGTATATATCACAAAGGACAAGCACTCTGCAGCAGAGGGTTGAAAGAACATTGTATATATCACAAAGGACAAGCACTCTGCAGCAGAGGGTTGAAAGGAGATTGTATATATCACAAAGGACAAGCACTCTGCAGCAGAGGGTTGAAAGGAGATTGTATATATCACAAAGGACAAGCACTCTGCAGCAGAGGGTTGAGAGGACATTGTATATATCACAAAGGACAAGCACTCTGCAGCAGAGGGTTGAGAGGACATTGTATATATCACAAAGGACAAGCACTCTGCAGCAGAGGGTTGAAAGAACATTGTATATATCACAAAGGACAAGCACTCTGCAGCAGAGGGTTGAGAGGACATTGTATATATCACAAAGGACAAGCACTCTGCAGCAGAGGGTTGAAAGGAGATTGTATATATCACAAAGGACAAGCACTCTGCAGCAGAGGGTTGAAAGGACATTGTATATATCACAAAGGACTGATCGGTGACATTCATGTACTTCTGTAGTTCATTGTCATATTGGCCGATGTGGAACAAGCTTTGTCTGAATGAGCAAACGCTAATTACCCTGTAGCCGTGACATGTCTGTCAAGAATCACTTAACCGCAATTTCTGTTAGATGCTAATCCCCATTGTTAATCCCAATTTTATTATACATTGGCTTTCTGCCATCCTGAACGAGCTGTGCATCTGTCACTTATTAATTAATGATTATTTACTGTTATTTGTATTATGACATATATAACCTTAATGTATTATCCCCTTGGCTGTATCGGTAATCATAGGTCCCATGTCAGGAACACGTCATTGTCTCTTCGTCTGTCCATTGTTATCCATTGCTATATATGTGTGTACATCTTTACTGTTAGTCAGTCTGGTATGCCGAGTGCTGGTGTACCGGCGAACGTGAGCAGGGTGTGCCGCTCGGAGGAAACGCCCGGGGGTTGAGCTGGAACTCTCTCCCCTCATGTATGTCTGAGCTCATTGTTGTGCTGTGTTATCAGAGCAGGTATTACGCGCTTTGTTTATTTGTTGTTTATTGTTTATCTGTTGTGTATTAAACGTTCCAGAACAGTGATGCCGATGTTGTCCTTGATTCCACCAAGAGCTAATTCCACGTCAACATACGCGTTGACAATATTATAATACTATTCGATGTTGTAATGGCAAAACGTATTGATACGCTAGATGGTGAAAGTAAAGACTCTATGAACATCAAATCTAGAAATGAGGTAGCTGACTTACGTGTTTTGAATTGTGTTGTTTCTTATTTTCTCTTCCATCATTTTGGGCATGTAACTTTCACACCCAATAAACTATACGAGGAAGCTTGACTCTGTTTGGTGACACACCCAATACACCATACGAGGAAGCTTGACTCTGTTTGGTGACACACCCAATACACTATACGAGGAAGCTTGACTCTGTTTGGTGACACACCCAATACACTATACGAGGAAGCTTGACTCTGTTTGGTGACACACCCAATACACTATACGAGGAAGCTTGACTCTGTTTGGTGACACACCCAAAACACTATACGAGGAAGCTTGACTCTGTTTGGTGACACACCCAATACACTATACGAGGAAGCTTGACTCTGTTTGGGGACACACCCAATACACTATACGAGGAAGCTTGACTCTGTTTGGTGACACACCCAAAACACTATACGAGGAAGCTTGACTCTGTTTGGTGACACACCCAATACACTATACGAGGAAGCTTGACTCTGTTTGGTGAATTTCACCTCCCCGCCACTCTTGATTATAATTTTACTAACCTTTTACAAGGATTGGTCGGTGTTACTCATGTTCTTTGGTCGTATATTGCTAATTCTGTTCAATGTTTAAATGGCAAAATGAATTGGTAGCGGGTGAAACCGGATTCTCCTGGATACTGATTACATGGTCGATTCCCTATACACCAAATGTACAAAAATTATGTTTGTCACATTCACCTTCTGAATTATGTTTATTTGATTTTTCTTCTTCTGTGGTATTGGACACGTACCTTTCATACCAGATATTCGAGGAAGCATACACGGGCATCTGATGGCAGAACTCTATTATTTTCTTTTGGTCTTTCCTATGTTTGGATTGATCAAAATGTTGGGGATTAATTAACATTTGTTTCTACCTTCAAACAAAGACTCGTTGATATTTTCGTTCAAGACTGGTCGGAAAGTATTAGATCCTCTCACTTCACATTATACTTCCATCAATCTGTGTTGGAACCTGAGAAATGTTTAACATTAAATGATAAATGACTTTTACGAGAGATATGTAAGTTTAGAATCTATCAATATTGTTTAAAATACAAGATATTAGGAAGAACAAAGACACAAACTATTCACATATTAATTGTATATATTATAAATCTGGATCCTTTAAAGAATTCTATGTTCTGTTTGGCTGCGATGCCTTTGCTTCCCAAAGAAATAAATGTTTGCCACATTTAGAAAATACATACGTAAATCACCAAGTAATGTACAATTTACTTAACTCAAATGATGTAAATACTATTAAGTCAGTAGCCATCTTTATCAAACACATTTTCTGTAAGATTTCTTAGAGTTGTTATATCAGCAAATGTCCTGTCAATCACCTGACTACCAACTTTATTCTGTTCACTGAGTTGTACTCTGGGCCACAAGGCCGAAATACTGAATACACACGTCTGTCCGTCTGTCCGTCTGTCCGTCTGTATGCGAGGACGCCCTGATCATGATTCCACCCACCCACCACAAGATGTGGATATCAATGGCCACTAAACTAGAATTCACATCATTTGGTTTATTGTCAAACTGTTCCTATAAATGAGAAGTATGCAGGAGACAAGAACTGGATAGTCCATGTACATATACATGAATGTACATAAACTAAGATCAGAAAAAACAATTTTTTAAAAACTGAAATACCAGTAGGTAGTTTTATCTGCCTGAACTTTTTTAAAAAGGTCTCTCTTTATGGAGCATTTAGTCACAATTACATTCGGTAAATTTGAGTCTATTTGAGTCTATATGAATAATACAGACAGACAGACAGACAAATATATTCCGTACTTCAGGCCAGCGGCCCATAATACAATGGAAATATACTGTATATATACCTGCATGCTGAGTAGATTTAATAATGATTTACCGTTCAACACTGTGTTTCCGTTCGATGTTCATCACTCGGGAGAGAAAATTACCTGAGCCTTTTATAATTTGTTCGTTTTCAGCTGACATAAGTATTATAAAATTCTCAATAGAGGGAGGGGTAACGAGACGCTTGGGAAAAGAGTTTCTTCTTGCTCTCGATTCTGGATAGGATAATGAACATTGAAGAGTGAGTGGGTATGGTTTTACGCCGCTTTTAGCAATATTCCAGCAATATCACCACGGGGAACATTGAAGAACACAGATGTCAGTGTTTTACTCTACACATATACCATGCTGCTTGTTCTCTAGACTTAATATAAGAACCCTGTGGTGAATAGGAATGTTGTTTGATTCCGGCGACATTGTAGCCACCCGTTCCCCAAAATAGTCAGTTAGCTCTTGCTCTGATAACAACATATACTTGGGGTCTATATTTACGAAAAGGCGTTGTGTGAGTGGCGGATGTTACCGGTACCGGGCATGCTTAGCCTCTTCGCGAACACCTGGTGTCATCACGGAAACTCAGTGATCCATTCATATCATTTTCACCGCTATTTTGCATTTAACGCCCAATGGAATCTGTTTCGTTGTACTGTTGTATCCTGTACTGGTATAATCCTCGATCACCAAATTAATTAGTTTAATTATACAGTGGTGTTTCTTCATGAAACAGGGTTCGGTGCCACACAAATGCGGTAGGGCAGGACATGCTTAACCTTTTCGTGAACACCTAGTGTCGTCACCGATTTTCCTCTTTAATCAATGTCTGTCTGTCTGTTTATAAACTGACGCAAAGGAGTAGATCGGGGCTCATTGTAACACACTATCTGTTTCAATTAGACGTATTCAGTTCAATGTGATTTCAACATTTCTGAACAGTGAATATTGTTCCATTCAGTCACTTCCGTTCAGTGTTTTAATCCACCTCAATCACATGTACATACAGTAGTTGTGTTGGTAAGCACGTAGTTCAAAGTAGGGAGACCGCCTCCGTGGTCTAGTGGTACAGCGCCCGCCCAGAGAGCGGAAGGTTCGATCCCCGGCCGCGTCATACCAAAAGACGTTTAAAGATGGTACTCCTTGTTACCCTGTCTGGCGCTCGGCATTAAGCAGCTAAAACAAGGACTGGTCGGCTCGGAGTCAATGCATTGTTTTTGATTGGGGTGTTCATGTAAAACTGCGGCATGGTATCTCCGTGAGCTAGCACTATGAAATCGCCATTAGTCCGGACTAGTACAAGCAAAAAACACAACACACACGCGTGCATGCACGTCGCTATATAAGTGCAATAGTCCGCTCTACCAAAAGTAAATGGTCAATCCCAAACTATGGTTAAGGAAAATTTGGCACTTATATATTACGCTCTCATTTGTTATTAATCTTATCTTTGCAGTTAGGTTTATCCATAAATAGTACAATAACTTCCATGGTTATTTGGGTTAAAGTCACAGTGACATAACAGAGATTATGTATCTCCCAAGACCATTCAGTCCTGACTTCACACGCAGAAACAATGCTTCTCAGTCTAGGCACCCTGCTCGTAGCGCAGTTCCTAGGAGGACACGCCCAAAGTTTAGCTCCTGGTAAGTATGTTAAACCATAAAAAATATGTATATTTTAAATCTTTATTTTGAATTAATGTTTATTGATACGAACATGCCCGTGAAGATCCGGGGTACAATATGTCTTCAGCAACCCATGCTTGCCGTAAAAGGCGACTACGCTTGTGGAAAGAGGCGACTAACGGGATCGGGTGGTCAAGCTCGCTGACTTGGTTGATGCATGTCATCGTATCCTAATTGCGTGGATCGATGCTCATGATGTTAATCACTGGATAGTCTGGCCCAGAGTCGATTACTTACAGACCGCCGTCATATAGATGGAATATTGCTGAGTGCGGCGTTAAACTAAAAACAAACAAACAAACACACAAATGATACGAACATGTGAGTATTTTTTCGATACCGTTTTTGTGCTCACGCTATCAAACACTGGTTGGTTTCCTTCAGGAATGTATTTGCCTTTGTCTTCAATACCCGCCACACACTCAGGTACAACACATTATTCAGAGGCCCTAAAGCCTGGGCTATGCTGAGTGTGGGATTCATTAAATAACTTAGTATTATAGTGTTGTGATCCCATGAGGGAAGTTGTATTATTGAATAAGGCAATATTGTTACAATGACAATGGATGATACTATATGTAATGTATTCCTTTTGAAAATAAACTGTCATGACATTTAGACTTATCTAATCGTCAACCCGATATTTAGTGTTAGCCAGCAAAAGAGAATGTTTCACTGGCTTGATGTCGACAGGAGTCATCTCCCTTTTCACTCCTCCCAAGATACCGACGCGAACTGTTCATACAGGCAATTCTCATTGAACTTGAGGACCGCCTCCGTGGTCTAGTGGTAGAGCGGCGGAGAGCGGAAGGTCCGGGGTCATACCAAAGACGTTAAAAGATGGTACTTGTTGTTACCCTGTCTGGCGCTCGGCATTAAGGGGCTAAAACAAGGACTGGTCGGCACGGAGTCAGTATACAGTGTCTGAGTGGGGTATTCATGTGAAACTGCGGCATGGTATCTCAGTGGGCTAGCACTATAAATCGGTATTAGTCCAGACTAGCACAAGCAGCCACACACACACACACACACACACACACACACACACACACACACACACACACACACACACACACACACACACACACACGTGCATGCACGTCGCTATATAAGTGCAATAATCCCAATTTCACCTCACTTCACCTATTAAACTTGAACAATTATCATGGACTTCATATGAATATTTTATTTATATAAATCAACACATGTGAACTTGTTGGTATTGTATTAATGAGTCCATTCTGGCACCGTTGGCCATCGTTTCAGTTCTCCAGATTTGACTATGAAATAGGATCATTATTTAATCATTTGATTCACGATGAATTGTTATTGGAACAACACATTTGCAGTGCGGGCGAACTGCTTTGAATGAGCATTCTTCTGTGTGCATGCATGATAAGGATTTTGTCGGCTTTATTTCACACATGTTCAGCCAGTTAAAGATTAGATAACAAAGGCTTTGAATAAGCCATTTAACTTGTAATTACCATTTTCATTTTCCATATACTTGTTCGTTGTTAAGTCTTTCGAGCCTGAGATATTCACGAAAATAAAATACTTGCATAAAAAACATTCCTTAAGATATCTATTGAGATAGCAATAAAATCCATTCTTTCAGCAGAAATTTCTTACGAATATGGAATATATTTGTCAACTTAGATTAGACTGCATATTTAAATATTTCCACATACAATAATGCAACACTCTATTTTCAGCCATACAGAAAACAGTAGTCCGTTAATGGAAATGGCCAATATTTTAGGTTTATGAAAACATAAACGCGCGCGAAAGATAATTGCTTTGTTAGCCAATGAAATGCCATGGAATCACTTGAAATTATGTGCTTGGTTAAACCACCAACATCCTCAAACATATTACAAGTTTAAGTTTGTTTAACTGAGTTTATCATACCATCATTCACACTATATGATGGCCCAGCAAGATATGTTCCTAAAAAAGAAACGCAAAACCACATTTTTGGTGTGAGAAGTAAATAAAAGGGTCAAAACCGTTTCTACAATCATAAGACATCCCTGAATCTGTTGTACGATTCCTACTATATCCTAGGCACGTGTTTATTAATCACTAGCACTATCACTTGGTGATGATCACACATATCCACTGCTTATCTGAACACTTGGTCATTAATGGCATCTTGCGAAAGGACAACAGTGGACACATGAACACATTACACGGAGTCAAACCTGCTATTTCGGCGTAACAAATAACGCTTTACCCATTAGACTCCGCCATCGCCCCTTAAACAATAGAAGGAATCTCCTGCATTTACTTAGGAAAAAATCACATCTGCTTGCGACTTGTTGGTAGTTAATTACAAAATTATAGAACATGGTCCACGGAACAAGCCAACCTTTGTCTCTTTGTATCTTGAAATTTAGCTTTGAATATTCTCCAAAATATGTATCAAAATGTATTAAAATTATTTTATGTTCATTTTCCCCCGCCCTTTGCAGAGTTGCGTACCTTGGGCACGCCAGAAACCTATATGGTTGTGGGTTCGAATCCCGGTTCGCCCCGATTATGTTTCTAGGTTTGTCAGCTCGGGAGATTCACCGAAGTGGTAAACGTCTGAGACCTGCTTCACTTCGGGCTCTCCTCCCACATTAAGCTGACACGCCGTGATATAACTGGAATACTGTTAAAAGCGGCGTTAAACCTAATTCACTAACTCACTGAATGATGCAATGTGGTGAAACTGTTAGACCACAGGTTTGAAAAGTCAGGTAAGAAGCAACCATCTGCCAACAGCGTATTCCCCTCCGTTTCGTTGATTCCCTGACAATCTCATTTCCAATATTTTACCACAATATATTGGATGCTTAAAAGAATATGTTGATCAATGTATATTAAATATATCTGTTCATAATTCATATGAAATAAAATGCAGGAGCATGTGGTTGTTTGTCAAGGCTTTCAAGCAAGGACATTCTCTCATTATGATGAAGAGCCACACGACCTGTTTGAGACGAGAAATAGGATACATTGCATGAACTTATGTATACTCCAAAAATATAGAGTGAGTGAGTGAGTATGGTTTTACGCCGCTTCTTGATACCAATCAACCTTTTAAATTCCATGTTTAGACATTTTGTTATTACATCTATAATATATGTACTATGTTAAACACGTTTCACGGGGAATGGCTAAGAACGTCAGTGTTTTCTCTCCACCAGCCCTTCGTTTCACCTGACCAAGTTTGTTTGGCTAATGTTGCATGTTTCCCTCCCCAGGTGTGTTTGACCCAAACTGTAGAGACCACCTGGACAATTGTAAGGAGTTCCATTCGGACACGTGTATCAACGCGCTGTTTGAGCAATGGGTGTTTGACAACTGCCGCCAGCATTGCAAACTCTGCATTGGGCCTAGTACGTATATGCACTGTTATACTGCAATCTGGTTGATATTTATAACACTTAGTGATTTAAAGACATTACACAGCGTCTGCTTGTTTGTCGACATGACAAAGTAACATACACAATATAACACACAATATATATCCACAGATAATTCTTGGAGTTCAAAACGTTTTGAAATTTCCAAGATAGTATTAAACCTTAAACTAACAGGGATTAATGAATCAGATATTGCACATGTGCTACTAAATTTTATTGATGTAACTAAAACGGAAGTAGTTATTATTCAATAGTGTTACAACGTGTTTCAATGTACGATGAAGCGGTAATAAAATCAGACGTATCCCAATCCAAATTGATCAGCCTTGTTCGTAGCAATTAACCAATCAGAATAAAGTGTTTGATGGTGTCATGATAGTTCTTAATCGATCCAGCGATAAGTGCGCCTTTGGTCAATGAGCAATCATGAAAATATTCACTCCTCAAACGTTCTTAACCATCATCCTGAATTACAGCTGTATATTTGTTTGTTTGTTTGTTTGTCGTTTAACGCCGCACACAGCAATTTTCCTGCTATAGGACGGAAGTCTGTAAATAATTCAGTATGGACCAGACCATCCAGTGATTGACATCATGAACATCGATCGACGCAATTGGGATACGATGACATGCATCAACCAAGTCAGCGAGCTTGACCACTCGATTCCGTTAATCGTCTCTACGACAAGCATAGTCGACCCTTTACGGCAAGCATGGGTTGCTGAAGACCTATTCTACCCCGGATCTTAACGGGCCCCTTCAAAAGTGATTAAACAGAACATGTTACATCAGGGACACCATTTCCATTATAATTTAATTGTGTTACGTCTAACTAAGTTGTTTTCACGATGTTTGAATAAATATTACGATCCCTGTTTTGACCCCTAATCATAATAATGTGTCCCAGACGTTTTGAATTCAACATACAGCACATCCTGATGCTCTCTTCATCTAAACAATGTGTTCCGTAGCAACCCCGGTCACGACTACACCAACTCCTCCGTGTATTGACGAAGAGATTTACTGCTACAGCTACCCGGACGATATGTGCTCCAAAGACCTCTACCGGGTTTGGGCGGAGGCTAACTGCAGGAAGACTTGTGGGTTCTGTGGTGTTATTCAGGGTATGTTCCCTCGCTTCTATGAGAACATTAATATGAATCATACGTTATAATGAGTTCCAAATAGAATATGTTAAGAAGCATCTCAAGGAGTCTGTTCTATACGATATATAGAAGCTCCACACAGGGTATGTTCCCTCGCTTCTATGAGAACATTAATATGAACCATACGTTATAATGAGCACCAAATAGAATATGTTAAGAAGCAGCTCACGGTGTCTGTTCTATACGATATATAGAAGCTCCACACAGGGTATGTTCCCTCGCTTCTATGAGAACATTAATATGAACCATACGTTATAATGAGCACCAAATAGAATATGTTAAGAAGCAGCTCACGGAGTCTGTTCTATACGATATATAGAAGCTCTACACAGGGTATGTTCCCTCGCTTCTATGAGAGCATTAATATGAACCATACGTTATAATGAGCACCAAATAGAATATGTTAAGAAGCAGCTCACGGAGTCTGTTCTATACGATATATAGAAGCTCCACACAGGGTATGTTCACTCGCTTCTATGAGAACATTTATATGAACCATACGTTATGCACGAGCACCAAATAGAATATGTTCTATGTCTTGTTTATACACAGCTCAGGGGGTATGTTCACGCTATCCTGAAGCACACTGCTAGGTATGATCTACATTTTATGCAGGGGCACCAAATGGGTTCTATACGGTATGCACGAGCTACATACAGGGTATGTTATATATGGTACTCAATGTTCAATATGTTAATTATATTTAAATCATGAACTTGCTTTGACATAACTAACCCTACACTATATTTTGTATTTTTCAGTTGTGCCCACACCTGCAATTGGTTAGATTATACTGACACTGTAACCACTGCTATCGACTATCATCTGACCAAAAATTAAATATCCCGCCAATGAGTTAGTGTTGATTTTTACCTCTCACAAGGTCGTCAGGTGTGTCTACAACAAGATAGATGGCTTTAAGAATACTTTGAAACTAGATTTGTCTTCGTTGCTACTCCACAAGCAGTCATGTCTTAGATCTTAAGAGCTCCATTACACAAAATATCAAATGCATGTTAGAGTTGTCATGAATATCGTGATGTTGAGAAAATATTGACCCCACACATAACGTTTTTGTTATTTTTGCATCTACGCGCATTATGTTGTATTTAATATTATGTTCTCTAGACTTAATATAAGAACCCTGTGGTGAATAGGAATGTTGTTTGATTCCGGCGACATTGTAGCCACTCGTCCCCCAAAATAGTCAGTTAGCTCTTGCTCTGATAACAACATATACTTGGGGTCTATATTTACGAAAAGGCGTTGTGTGAGTGGCGGATGGTACCGGTACCGGACATTCTTAGCCTCTTCGCGAACACCTGGTGTCATCACTGAAACTCAGTCATCAATTCACATCATTTTCATCGCTATTTTGCATTCAACGCCCAATGGAATCTGTTTCGTTGGATTATCGAGACTGGTTATTTTCTGGTGTTGACGTTTTATATTACGGTTGATGGAAGCGTTATCCTGTACTGGTATAATCCTCGATCACCAAATTAATTAGTTTAATTATACAATGGTGTTTCTTCATGAAACAGGGTTCGGTGCCACACACATGCAAAAAGGCTTTGTGCGAGTGGCTGCATGATGTTACCGGTAGGGCAGGACATACTTAGCCTGTTCGTGAACACCTGGTGTCATCACCGATTTTCCTCGGTAAACACCATCATATATACTCACTGTATAACTTATTGTAACGGACTTGTGACACTTTAATCAATGTCTGTCTGTCTGTCTGTACATGATATGACGCAAAAGAGTAGATCGGGGCTCATTGTAACACACTATCTGTTTCAATTAGACGTATTCAGTTCAATGTGATTTCAACATTTCTGAACAGTGAATATTATTCCATTCAGTCACTTCCCTTCAGTGTTTTAATCCACCTCAATCACATGTACATACAGTAGTTGTGTTGGTAAGCACGTAGTTCAAATAAGGGAGACCGTCTCCTTGGTCTAGTGGTACAGCGCCCGCCCAGAGAGCGGAAGGTTCGATCTCCGGCCGCGTCATACCAAAAGACGTTAAAAGATGGTACTTCCTGTTACCCTGTCTGGCGCTCGGCATTAAGGGGGTAAAACAAGGACTGGTCAGCTCGGAGTCAGTGCATTGTTTCTGAGTGGGGTGTTCATCTAAAACTGCGGCATGGTATCTCCGTGAGCTAGCACTATAAAATCGGCATTAGTCCGGACTAGTACAAGCAAAAAACACAACACACACGCGTGCATGCACGTCGCTATATAAGTGCAATAGTCCGCTCTACCAAAAGTAAATGGTCAATCCCAAACTATGGTTAAGGAAAATTTGGCACTTATATATTACGCTCTCATTTGTATTTTAATCTTATCTTTGCAGTTAGGTTTATCCATAAATAGTACAATTACTTCCATGGTTATTTGGGTTAAAGTCACAGTGACATAACAGAGATTATGTATCTCCCAAGACCATTCAGTCCTGACTTCACACGCAGAAACAATGCTTCTCAGTCTAGGCACCCTGCTCGTAGCGCAGTTCCTAGGAGGACACGCCCAAAGTTTAGCTCCTGGTAAGTATGTTAAACCATAAAAAATATGTATACTTTAAATCTTTATTTTGAATTAATGTTTATTGATACGAACATGCCCGTGAAGATCCGGGGTACAATATGTCTTCAGCAACCCATGCTTGCCGTAAAAGGCGACTACGCTTGTGGAAAGAGGCGACTAACGGGATCGGGTGGTCAAGCTCGCTGACTTGGTTGATGCATGTCATCGTATCCTAATTGCTTGGATCGATGCTCATCGATCGATGCTCATGATGTTAATCACTGGATAGTCTTCCCCAGACTAGATTATTTACAGACCGCCGTCATATAGATGGAATATTGCTGAGTGCGGCGTTAAACTAAAAACAAACAAACAAACACACAAATGATACGAACATGTGAGTATTTTTTCGATACCGTTTTTGTGCTCACGCTATCAAACACTGGTTGATTTCCTTCAGGAATGTATTTGCCTTTGTCTTCAATACCCGCCACACACTCAGGTACAACACATTATTCAGAGGCCCTAAAGCCTGGGCTATGCTGAGTGTGGGATTCATTAAATAACTTAGTATTATAGTGTTGTGATCCCATGAGAGAAGTTGTATTATTGAATAAGGCAATATTGTTACAATGACAATGGATGATACTATATGTAATGTATTCCTTTTGAAATTAAAATGTCATGACATTTATGCTTATCTTATCGTCAACCCGATATGTACTGTATGTTTCACTGGCTTTATTACGACAGGAGTCGTCTCCCTTTTCACTCCTCCCGAGATACCGACGCGAACTGTTCATACAGGCAACTCTTATTAAACTTGAGGACCGCCTCCGTGGTCTAGTGGTAGAGCGGCGGAGAGCGGAAGGTCCGGGGTCATACCAAAAGACGTTAAAAAATTGTACTTGTTGTTACAATGTCTGGCGCTCGGCATAAAGGGGCTAAAATAAGAACTTGTTGGTATTGTATTAAAAAGTCCATTCTGGCACCGTTGGCCATCGTTTCAGTTCTCCAGATTTGACTATGAAATAGGATCATTATTTAAGCATTTGATTCATGATGAATTGTCATTGGAACAACGCATTTGCAGTGCGGCTGAACTGCTTTGAATGAGCATTCTTCTGTGTGCATGCATGATAAGGATTTTGTCGGCTTTATTTCACACATGTTCAGCCAGTTAAAGATTAGATAACAAAGGCTTTGAATAAGCCATTTAACTTGTAATTACCATTTTCATTTTCCATATACTTGTTCGTTGTTAAGTCTTTCGAGCAGCAAAGCCTGAGATATTCTCGAAAATAAAATACTTGCATAAGAAACATTCCTTTAGATATCTATTGAGATAGCAATAAAATCCATTCTTTCAGCAGAGATTTCTTACGAATATGGAAAGGGCTTTGTCACTTTTATCAACTTAGTTTAGACTGCATATTTAATCATTACCACATACAGTAAAGTACGGTTATAACGAACTCAAAGGGACTACTAATTTTAGTTCGTTATAACCGTAGTTCGTTATAAGCATATATACAGCATGACTACAGCAAATAGTCGGGACCAAAAAAGTAAGTTCGTTATATCCGTCAGTTCGTTATAAGCGTGTTCGTTATAACCGTAGTTTACTGTACATTAATGCGACACTCTATTTTCAGCCAATCAGGAAACAGTAGTCTATTAATGGACATGACCCACATTTTTAGGTTTATGAAAACACAAACGCAAAAAATATTGCTTTGTTAGCCAATCAAATGCCAAGGAATCACTTGAAATTATGTGCTTGGTTAAACCACCAACATCCTCAAACATATTACAAGTGTAAGTAAAGTTTAACTGAGTGTATCATACCATCCTTCATATTGTGTTGATGGCCCAGCAAGATATATTCCTAAAAAAGAAACGCAAAACCACATTTTTGGTGTGAGAAGTAAATAAAAGGGTCGAAACCGCTTCCACAATCATAAGACATCCCTGAATCTGTTGTACGATTCCTACTATATCCTAGGCACGTGTTTATTAATCACTATCACTATCACTTAGTGATGATCACACATATCCGCTGCTTATCTGAACACTTGGTCATTAATGGCATCTTGCGAAAGGACAACAGTGGACACATGAAAACATTACACGGAGTCAAACCTGCTATTTCGGCGTAACAAATAACGCTTTACCCATTAGACTCCGCCATCGCCCCTGAAACGATAGAAGGAATCTCCTGCATTTTCTGCAAATCACATCTGCTTGTTACTTGTTGGTAGTTACTTACAACATTATAGAACATGGTCCACGGTAAAAACCAACCTTTGTCTCTTTGTATCTTGAAATTTAGCCTTGAATATTCCCCAAAATATATATCAAAATGTATTAAAATTATTTTATGTTCATTCTTCCCCGCCCTGTGCAAAGTTGGGTACCTTGGGCACGCCAGAAACCTATGGTTGTGGGTTGGAATAACGGTTCGCCCCGATTATGTTTCTAGGTTTGTTAGCTCGTGGGTTTCACCGAAGTGGTAAACGTCTGAAACCTGCATCACTTCGGGCTCTCCTCACACATTAAGCTGACACGCCGTGATATAACTGGAATACTGTTAAATGCGGCGTTAAACCTAATTCACTCACTCATTTAATGAAGCAATGTGGTGAAACTGTTAGACCACAGGTTTGAAAAGTCAGGTAAGAAGCAACCATCTGCCAACAGCGTATTCCCCTCCGTTTCGGTGATTCCCTGACAATCTCATTTTCAATATTTTACCACAATATATTGGATGCTTAAAAGAAAATGTTGATCAATGTATATTAAATATATCTGTTCATAATTCTTATGAATTAAAATGCAGGAGTATGTGGTTGTTTGTCAAGGCTTTCAAGCAAGGACATTCTCTCATTATGATGAAGAGCCACACGCCCTGTTTGAGACGAGAAATAGGATACATTGCATGAACTTATGTATACTCCAAAAATATATAGTGAGTGAGTGAGTATGGTTTTACGCCGCTTTTATCAATATTCCAGCAATATCTCGGCGGGGAACACCAGAAATGGGCTTCACACATTGTACCCATGTCGGAATTCGAACCCGGGTCTTTGATGTGACGAGCGAACGCTTTAACCACTAGGCTACCCGACCGCCCCTTAAAAAGAAATAAGATGATTAAAAAAACCAGAAACATCCTTAATTAAAAAAGACATAAAATGATAGAAATATAGAAACACCCTTACTCATTTATACTCAAAAGAAATTATAAAGAAATAGAAACACCCTTACTAATGTATACTCCAAAAAGTAATAAAATGATAAATAAATAGAAACATTCTTACTCTT